TGACAAAAAACTGTAAATTATTGAGAAAATATCAATTAAAGGCACTTAGGATTGATTTTCTTCCTTATCCTTCTTTTGTAATGACTATGTCAATTAAGAACGTCAATTAACCTAACAATATTGATGTCAGCTACTCAATTCATCCATGTTAATTCTTTACACATGAAATTCATAAGAAAACCTAATAAATGTTGATTCCTCACACAATTAAGAGATTTTCCAGCATTAGGTTTAGGGTGTTAAGCAATTGATACATTCATTTCATTCCTGACAATTAACGTAACAAATATTCTTACCGTGATCTAGGGTTCAAGATATATTTTCCAATCATACCTCAAACAATCAAGAATAAATCATTCCAAAGCATAAAAAATAAGAATAACAACATCAAAACATAGATTAATATCTCAAAATATCACCATGATACAAAAGAGTTCAAAGAAAGTGCACCGAATCCTAAGAGAATGAAGTTAGTCACTCATGTTGGCCATTACAATGCTCAAATTGTGGAAGAAGTGGAGAATTGATGAAGATTTGACGAAACCCTAGCAGTAATCGCGCTTCTTCTCCTCTAAAACCGCTTCCTTTCTCAAAATACATCTTATCTTTTTATAAGAGAATTTGGGTCGGATCTCGCATCATTCATTCGCTTAAGCGTTCTCTTTCAAAAAAATTTCAATTACTTCACAATTATAATATTTGCTCTTATATCAAGGTATTCTCGAGTTCATCCTATATTGGGAGAAAAATAGATTAGAATTAAATTTACCACTTAACAATTCAAAGTATAATTATATCAACTTTTTACCACTTAACAAAATACAGTGAATTAAATTTAACCATATCTAAATAATTTTGTTTTCTATTAAATTAATAATTCAATTAAAAAGAATTATTTAATAAATAAATATTTAAAAAAATAAAAAAAAATCATATTTTGAAAAAAAAAATTATGCCTAACTCGTACTACGTAGCATATTTTTTAATCATGAAATCATGCTTGAAAACACGATTTCTTTAAAATAAAAATTGGAAACCACTAAAATCATGCTTGGAAGTACGATTTCAGTCAAATTTGTGCTTTCTAGCATGATTTCAACCTCCCAAAATCATTTCCTTTTGCACGATTTAACCCATTTTGATAAAATTCAAAATTTTCGATCCCATGTAGTAAAATCCAACTATTTTTAACCCTCAAGTAAAAAAAAAACGAAGATTACAACTAAGTTTCTTTATTTCGAAACCTAGTTTTTTAAGCATAGAATTAAAAAAAAAAAAAACTTTTATGTACAAACCTACACATATAAAATCCTAATAATCAAATCAAACATAGGAACTTAGACTAACATATCTTTATCTTTTTCTACAAAGAGGCACATGCATCAGATTGGGTCAGCACATAAAACTATATTAAACTTACCTACAAGGAGAGAACAAAATTTACTCTATTTGAAAATTTAATATTAGAAAATGGTCTACCTTTGCTAACTCCACTAAGGTTAAAAAATGAGCAAAAGGTTTAGAAGGTTAAGAATCCAAAGAAAAAACAATTATTAAAAAAAAAGTGTTTTTTTTAATAAATAAGGAATGAAACATTAAGTTTTTCTATTTATAACTTTAACACTTAAATAAACTTAAAATTTTATTTTCATAAATTTTAAACATTCTCATCTATACTTTAAAAATGTTCAATCTTTATTGATGATATTAGGATTGTTTTATCGATATCAATATGATAAAAAAATATAAACGTTTTTTAAGTAAACATTGATAAAATTTATTTTTTATTATTTTAATTATAATTATTTATTATTTATTATTTATTTATATAGATTAAGATTATTTATCCAAAAGACATCTTGATTTTAAAAATTGCTACTATCATAATATTTATTGTTAAGAAATAAACTTGCATTAACTTAACAAAATAATATATGATATTAATTAAACATATAGTACATGATAATCTTTCCTAACATAACATTATATTAAACCATGCTATATAAACATTATATACAAAATTTTCTTATAATTATCAAGCTAGACTACTCTTGTGTTTATGCTGCATTATCATTTATTTTTTGCAATAATAGAATTACAGTAGTCAAGTCATATAAATAATAAAATAGGGTAAATTAAATTATAAAGTTAATAATTACCATTAAAAAAAAAACAACATATATTGTTTTATACACATTTCTTTAGTCACGTTGCATCACATCTAAGATAATAAGATATTTTCTAGAAGATTTAATACTATGTTCCAAACTTTGAGATTAATATTTATGGGTCATGTTAAAATTAATAATATTATATAAGATACTCTTTTACTAATATGACCATTTTAGCTTCTTTACCCATAAAACATAACTACTGACAAATTTAATCGTCTTAATAATTTCTCGTAATCTTAGGATAAATCATAGCAGTTCTCTCGTTGAATTCTCCCCAATTAATACTTTAGTTTATCTGACTTAGACTAGTCTTGAAACTTGAGATTTCATTAAATTCGCATTAATATAATTGTCAAACCAACACCACAATATCTCCCTAAATACTCACCAAACTTACTTCACTCATACTATCACACGTACCTCTATCAATTATATATCACATTTCTAATTCGACTTAGTTTCACGTGACATATATAAATAAATTATGTGTCATATTTCTTACTTGATATAGCTTCATACACATAATACATGTCTCGTTTAATTATAAATCATATCCTTGACTATTTTGGACTAAATAAATACTATTATCAAATTGTCGTATATTTCATTTCACACAAAGAAATTTAGCTTGAATGATTATCTGTCACTTGAGCAAAATACTTCCAATATTTAATCAAAATGATTTTTTTTTCTTTTTCACTCGGGCGACCTCATCTTGCTTGAATAATACAATCATTTTGTTTAAGTAAAGTATCTTTAGAAATAAGTTATTTATTTTGTTTATTTTTCGTTTGATCGTTTAAGCAACTAACATATATAATTAATTATTGTTATTGTTTTTTATTCAGTAGTTTAACTATAAATTGTATTGATTTTTTGAACTCTAGAAGTATTCTTACTTTAAATTTTTTTTATTATACTTTAAGCATTATATTTAAGATGTATTAATTCGCATTACTTAAAATCAATTTTATATCGACAGAGTAGTTGTTATTTTTTTTTTCTCAAAGTAGAGTTGAATTCTATGGAAAAACCTTCCTAGACAAAAGTGTTAGTTAATGGCAATGTTACAGTAGCTTAAAAAAAAATATATATATATATATATATATATATATATATATATATATATATATATATATATATATATATATATATGAGAACGTATGTATAAAATCCATCTCTTGTTAGAACTATATAGGATTTTAGAAACAAATTGGATGAGTACCATCATATAACAATAACAAAATTTGTCTAGTTACAAGGGTTTATCTCTCAAATAATTTTGGAATAGAGATATATACTATATTCTCTTATTTTATTAAGGTATTTTTTTTAAGGCAAAACTCATACCAAACCTAGATTTCAAAACAAATAATAAACCTGTCAACGTAGAAAAAATTAGGTTATTGAACATGATTTACCAAATATAACTCCAAGTAAGAAAAAAAACTATCAATAAGTTTTTTTAGTTAAGAAATATATAAATATCAAATTTAATATGAATAAATTAAAAGAAAGTTGAATATATATATTTATATTAGTTTTTTAATACTTTTTATTTTTATGTATTTGATGTTACTCAATTATTATTAATTGACAAATATATTTTATACAACTTTATACAAATATTTATATGAAAGTTCTTGCAGCTAATTAGCATTGTCAAATTTGAATTTTAATTATAAATAGCTAGAATAAATAATTTTATACAATTCAAAGATACTTGTCATTTATGGCAGAATAAATTATGTTAAACGATAGAATATTGAGAATAATATTCTCAATTAGAATTTTCGTTAGGATTTTCTAAAATTCTGAATTTTCATCATCAAAACTTCGTGTCTTTTTCATTATTTCAATCCTCCCTTCTTTTGACCATAAATTGAGATTTCATCAGACAAAGTTTTAAACATATAGAATATTAACCTATGAGAGGTGTTCATTTTTATGTATTAAACACTAAGTGAAAAAAATTAAAGGAAAAACATATTTTTATGTATAACATTTTAATTTAGATTTAATTTTAAGCTTTATACTTTAATAAATACAATCTTTGTATTAAAAATATATAAATATAGTTTTCGTATTAACTGTCACTAAAGATTAAGTTTAAAGATGTTATCAGACAAAATTAATATATATTGAAAAAGTGAAAGACTAAATTTGTTTACTTTAGCAGACAAAACTTATACGAGTTGTTACAACTTATTTATTAGTATCGAATTTGAGTTTTAAGTATGCCATTGCCAAAAACATGATTTGATAAAAAATAATTTCACACAATAATACAAATTACATATGTCATTTATGATATAATAAATTATGATAAATTAAATAACATTGAGAATAATTATTTTAAATGATTTTTTCATCTAATTTTTCTTTTGTGAAAATAAAACTCACTTCAGAACAACATCAACAACAAGCAATACTCTATTACAGTTTTATTCATTTATCAATGAAACCCAAATTTAACTAAAGAATTGAAATACTTATAATTTATCCACAAAGTGGTGAAAAATATGTGTCATTAGGATTTTGACTAAGTCTTAGTGAATCCCTTCCAACTATGTGAGGTTACAACTCCCCACTCACTCCCCTTCATTTCCTTTCTTTCCATCTCCTTCCCTTCTCTCACAAAAACCCTAATCCCCAATTCCTTCAATCGCTTCACCCTCTGCTCCCCGTCGCTAGGGTTCGTCTTCTTTTCTCTCTCCATTTCTCCAGTTCGCTCTTCTCCGTCTCCTCTCTCTTTGTCTCTCTCCCTCTCTGAATTGAACTTTCCATGTAGCTCTGTAGGGTTCCGATTCGCGAGGGAAGATAAGCATGCAGAAGAAGCGAGCGTTCCAGATAGAGGCGTTCAAGCATCGCGTCGTGGTCGATCCCAAGTACGCTGAGAAGACGTGGAAGGTTCTAGAACATGCTATCCACGAGATATACAACCACAACGCCAGTGGCCTTAGCTTTGAAGAGCTTTACAGGTTGATTCATTCGTTTAACTTTCATTTAACTCTTCTTCAGTTTCAGGGTTCCAACCTTGGTGTGAATTGTGCGACATGCAATTTTGGGGTTTTTCCAACAGTGTGGTTTTGTGTTGTTATTTTAAATAAATTACTCTCACACTCTTTTACACATGATGTTTCTTCTTTTTCAATTCCTACACTAAACCTCTTGATTGTTTAGAAAAAAAAAACACCATCGATCCTTAATTATTTTTAAAACATTATATTGTGAACTCCTGTAAAAGATGTTGTGAACGTTGACTATGGGGATTATGTGCAATTTGGAAAACGTCAGGTTGTTAGTATAATTTACATTTTGTTTGTCTGTGAAAAATTGATTTGGACCTATTGTATCTATTGATCAATAAAGTTTTTTTTTTTTTTTTTTTTCAGTTGTCATTGAAATGAGCCTTATGTAGTTGGTTTTCACAAAAGAAGGTTGTATGAAGAGAGATAGGCCTGAAGGATTTTAATTTTGATAAGGCCATATTTGTATAATGTTTTTGCTTTATATCTGTATTAATAATTGTTTCAAAACTCATATCAAACCGGCCTGTTCAATCCAAACCCACCATCTAATTTTCCAAATTAAAATTCCGGCTTGCCTACCACGACCTAGTCAAAGACATGTATTGAAACTATGGTATTAATTGAAAAGCTCTCTTTTAATATTGAAGTTGTCTACCTGAAATGAATCTTCCAATCTTGGTTATTCACATAAAAAGTTTGTATGAAGAGAGATAGACCTCAAGTGATTTTAATTTTGAAACTACCCCCATGAGTTTAGTGTTTTTTATGCCCACGATCTATCTCTTTTTGAATGTAATCCCGTTTCATGTGAAAAACCTAATATTTCCTGTTGTATAACCATCATACAAGGATGGTCAAAATTAATTTGACTTTTTAGTCTTAATCACCATTTTAATTATGTTTAAGATTCACAAGCTAATTGCTTACCTAATATGCTTTCATATTATTCTATATATGTGTGTGTATCTCAATATTTTTAGTAGCTTTTTTTATTGGCTTCCTCTCAACCATAGATTGCCAAATGAAGATTTTCAACAATTGTCATTTTTGGTGTCGACCTTTCATGTTGCTGTCCTAGAATTACTGTGCAATTATTGATTTTTGATGAGTTTAAATGTGGAGGGTTGTGTTAGGCTATTAGATGCCAATTTACAGTAAAACTCATACAGATACTGAACATGGACACCTATCAAGTGGGGGTTTATGTTATTTGTGTATCCTGGAACATGCGCATGTTTCAACATTTGAATTTTCTCGTACAAAGTTTAACTGTGCTGTGGAGGTTGTTTTGAATTCATCTGTTTCTGCTGCTATACCAAAAAGCATACTTGATCTTATCATGTTGTGGTTGCCTTGGGGCTTACAACTTATATTGACAGAGATTCTTATATGACATTATATTGACAAGTTCTTTGTGATGCTGTTTGGCTATCGTAGATATGGTCAGTTCACCAGCTAGTATTTATTCTTATTCTCATGAACAGTAACGTGTAGTGTGTTCTCAGCCTATTTCATATCATTTAGTTATAAGAAAAAACTCCAATATATATTTAGTTATTTACTAATTGATGCCACGTACCTCCTTTAACCTTGTCATTTATTAATAATTTGAATTGAACAAAAATCAGGAGTTTTTTTATAATTTAACATTATTGATTGCCTGCAGTTTAGTTTCATTAGATTAATTGATTGCTTAAGCTGGCTTTATAAATAATAAATATTATAGATCTCCCTACCAATTTCAAATGTGTATATATTTTCTAATTTCTGATCATTGTGATCTGCCCATTCAGGAATGCATATAATATGGTTTTACACAAATTTGGGGAGAAACTTTACACAGGGCTTGTGATGACCATGACTACTCATCTAAAAGAAATTTCTCAATCGATTGAATCTGCTCAAGGAGAAATTTTCTTGGATGAGCTCAATAGGAAGTGGGTAGATCATAACAAGGCATTGCAAATGATCCGAGATATACTGATGTACATGGATAGAACATTTATACCTAGCAATCATAAAACTCCTGTTCATGAGCTTGGTTTGAATCTTTGGAGAGATGTTGTGATTCATTCCAGCAAAACTCAGGCTAGGCTTCTAGATACACTTCTTGAGCTTGTGCTTAGAGAAAGAAATGGTGAAGTAATAAACAGAGGATTGATGAGAAATATAATAAAGATGCTTATGGATTTGGGTTTGCCTGTTTACCAGCATGACTTTGAGAAGCATTTTCTTGATGTATCAGCAAATTTTTACTGTTGTGAGTCCCAAAAATTTATTGAATCTTGTGATTGTGGTGATTATCTGAAGAAAGCTGAGAGACGTTTAAATGAAGAGTTGGAGAGAGTGTCTCATTACTTGGATCCTAGAAGTGAGATGAAGATAACTAATGTGGTGGAGAAGGAGATGATTGAAAGTCATATGCACACTCTAGTTCATATGGAGAACTCTGGCCTAGTTAGTATGCTTGTAGATGACAAATACGAAGACTTGCAAAGAATGTATAACTTGTTTCGCAGGGTGCCTGCTGGGCTCACAATTGTAAAAGAAGTCATGACCTCTTTTGTACGAGATACAGGTAAGCAGCTAATTATGGATCCTGAAAGGTTGAGAGATCCTGTGGATTTTGTTCAACGTTTGTTGGATTTGAAGGATAAATATGATAGGATTATTACGATGTCTTTTAACAATGACAAGACATTTCAGAATGCCTTGAATTCCTCTTTTGAATATTTCATCAATTTGAATGCCCGGTCTCCAGAGTTCATTTCTTTGTTTGTGGATGACAAACTTCGCCGAGGGTTGAAAGGGGTTGGTGAGGAGGATGTGGAGGTTGTACTAGACAAAGTCATGATGCTTTTCCGGTACCTACAGGAGAAGGATGTGTTTGAGAAGTATTATAAGCAACACTTAGCAAAAAGGCTTCTCTCAGGGAAGACTGTATCTGATGATGCAGAAAGGAGTTTGATTGTTAAGCTAAAAACAGAATGTGGATATCAGTTCACTTCTAAGTTAGAGGGTATGTTTACTGACATGAAGACTTCTCATGATACAATGCAGGGTTTCTACGCAGGCCAAGGTGCAGAGTTGGGGGATGGTCCCACACTATCTGTCCAGGTGCTTACAACAGGATCATGGCCTACTCAGCCTAGCCCACCTTGTAATCTTCCAACAGAAATACTGGGCGTGTGTGATAGGTTTCGAACATATTATCTTGGCACACACAATGGTAGGAGATTGTCGTGGCAAACTAACATGGGTACTGCTGATTTGAAAGCAACATTTGGTAAAGGCCAAAAGCATGAGTTGAATGTTTCGACATATCAAATGTGTGTACTCATGCTTTTCAACAATGTTGAGCGGTTGACTTGTAAGGAGATAGAGCAAGCTACAGCGATTCCCATGTCAGATTTGAGGAGGTGTCTTCAGTCTCTTGCCTGTGTCAAAGGAAAAAATGTTCTTCGAAAAGAGCCAATGAGCAAGGACATAGCTGAGGATGATGCATTCTTCTTTAATGACAAATTCACAAGCAAGTTCTTCAAGGTAAAGATAGGGACTGTTGTTGCACAGAGGGAGTCTGAACCAGAAAACCTAGAAACTCGGCAAAGAGTGGAGGAAGACAGAAAGCCACAGATTGAGGCAGCAATTGTGAGGATAATGAAATCAAGACGAACTCTAGATCATAATAATATCGTTGCGGAGGTCACAAAGCAGCTGCAGTCACGGTTTTTGCCTAATCCTGTTGTTATTAAGAAAAGAATTGAATCCCTTATTGAGCGTGAGTTTTTGGAGAGGGATAAAGTGGATAGAAAACTGTATCGCTATCTTGCTTGAACTGTGTATTTGCTTTTGTTCTGGCATTTGCACCTATGCGATTCTGTCTGTCACAAGTTTGAGTGCTCATCACAAAATATTGCTGCCAAGTAGTGGAACTCTACTTTGCATTTCAGCAAAACCTAGATTTGTTAGGGTTACTTCTTTTCAGCCTGCTAAACGTGATAGATCATTGTTAACTTTTTATTTCTCAAAAATAACCAAAACTTTTTTAACTTATCCCTCAACCTTAATATCCTTTTCAATCATTTTGGATCTGGAATTATTTCAACCACACTACATGTTAAAGAAGCTTCTACAGTAACTTGTTAATAGCGAAACTTTAACATATTTGAATAGCATATTCTGTCATAGGTTCTTGTGCTAGGAATTGAACAGTTAAGGTCTTGGTCCATAACACAATGCACTGCAATGCTTTCCTAGATTAGTAAAAGAGAAGAAAAAATATAAAAACCTTATTTCTGTTTATTGTGATTGAATGGTTCTAATCACAATATGAGGAGGATAAGTGGTTCAGTTAGCCAAAAATCTAATGAATTGAGATAGCTAGGTCAATTTTTCTTGGTGCCTACCATCATCTTCCCTGAACCTTTCTCCCTACCCCTAACACTGCTGTTGGATCGGTCCGCCGACCGAAAGGGAGGCTATAAGTACTATCAAAGTTGGATTTTCAACATGTAATAAATGTAGTTTTTGCACCTTATTAAAAAATTATTCGTTCTCCTTTTATGTGAAAAAATAAATAAATAAAATATATATATATATATATATATATATATATATATATATACAGATAATTATAACTTTTTTAAAAATAATACATCTTAATTAATCATATCAATTTTATCTTTTAAATTTATTTTTTTTATTTGTCTTTATTTTCTACACTCTTTTTCAAACAAGACTAAAGAATGATATGTCAATTTGTCGCATTTATAGATTTATATATACATATATATAGATTTATATATATATATATATATATATATATATATATATATATATATATAATATGAAACAATCTTAACGTCATTCAATTATAGGAAGAACTAAGTTTGTTTAATATGCAGAAGATAATATTGAATATGTTATGGTTATAATGAGTAGAAATTTTAGAAGATAACGATGAACATAATTACAAATTAAGTACAATCACAGAAAATTATTATTCACATTGAAAAGATAGGTAAAAATTTAGATGTTTAAGGATAGAAACCTTTTATTATAACGTAATTATATAACATCCAAATATTACTGTCTGAACGTTAACCTCTTTATTTATATATGTTTTTTTTTTTTTTTGGAATATGACATTTATAGAACTAAACTCAATTGAGGTATTTTAAAAATAATTTAATTGTATTGAAAAAAAATCAATTAAATTATTTTTTTATTTAGGTTCTAAAGACGGAATCGCTTGTAAATAAAACTATTTGAACTATATCTTAAAAAATTAAAAAATCCTTCTAAATAAAATTTACATTGTATCATAAAATATCTTAAAAGTAGAAAGAAATAGAAGAGAAAATAAATATGAAGATTGTTATTTCTTGATTTTTTTCAAATCTAGCATCCAATTGAAGTAAATATAGGTGGATAGCATCCTGTACATATTATTTACCTGAATAGCACACTTTTTAATGGAAAGTGTTAAAAATTAATAAAATTTTAAAAATATAACAATATTTATTAAATATAAATATATATTATAGAATTTTATTTCATATATATATATATGAAATAAAAATAAATATAATTTTTATATAAAATAAAAATATATTTATATAATTATATTATTAAAATATTTTTATAAATATAGTAAATACAAATATATTTAATCTATATATATAATAATATTTAAATAATTATTTATATTTTTATAAATAAAATAAAATTTAATAAATATATATATTTATATCTTTTTAGATAACATTTTTTATATAAATAAATTATATATATTATTTAAATATATTTTTAATATAAAATAATTGTAGTAAGTATTATATTATCATATATAAATATTATATAAGTATATTTAAATAATATTTATAAATATATTTATAAAAGTATATATAAATATATTAAACATATAATTATATAATATATTTTTATTATATATAAAAGTATATATTTATATTTATTATATATTATATTTAATAAAGTTATAATGTATATAACAAAATACAAATTTGTGTTTATCATATTTATAAAAATATATAAAAATATAATAAAATATTTATATATAATTTTATATTAAAATTATTTTATATTATATTAATAAAAATGTATTTATCATATTTTTATAAAAAATATTATTTTTACTTACTACAATTATTTTATATTAAAAATATATTTAAATAATATATATAATTTATTTATATAAAAAATGTTATCTAAAAAGATATAAATATATATATTTATTAAATTTTATTTTATTTATAAAAATATAAATAATTATTTAAATATTATTATATATATAGATTAAATATATTTGTATTTACTATATTTATAAAAATATTTTAATAATATAATTATATAAATATATTTTTATTTTATATAAAAATTATATTTATTTTTATTTCATATATATATATATATGAAATAAAATTCTATAATATATATTTATATTTAATAAATATTGTTATATTTTAAAATTTTATTAATTTTTAACACTTTCCATTAAAAAATGTGCTATTCAGGTAAATAATATGTACAGGATGCTATCCAGGTATATTTACTTCAATTAATGCTAGATTTGAAAAAAAATCGTTATTTCTTAAGGAATATTAAATCAATTTAAACAATATTAAGGATTATAAATTTTTGAATTATATAAACAATAATAAAGATTAATAAAATTAATACATAATTAATAACAATTTATAAATATTTCTTTTTAAATATTTAATGACTGAAAAATGTGTTTCATTGAAATTTAACTAAAAAAATTTATGTGATAATATCCTATTGAAATAAAAAGAGCATATCATTCTTTTATTGATATTCAAATCGTATTTATATTTTTCCCACATGTAAATTATGTTAGAGATGACAGAAGTTTAATATTGTGAATAAATTATTTAAAAGTTTTCCTTAAAATATACCTATAAATAGATAAGCCAAATTTTCAAATAAACGAACATTATAAAGTTTTATAACTTCATTATTTTAAATATTATGAATAAAAATGAATTTTGAAAATAAATATGCTAATATATGATAATTAAAGTTATTTTTCTCCGACTAACATAGGCTATAAGTTTATAACTAAATACATTTACGATTAATTATAATACTAAAATTTTTGCATGAATTTAATTTTTTTTAATTTGTTTCACATATAATTATGGAATAACAACGTTACCACTTAACAATAAATATCTTATTGTGATCAATCATTATGAAAATAAAACAAATAATTTGTAATATTTGAATAAACACAATCTTGTATATCTTACTTCAGGATCATCAAAGTTCTTATATACATTTAAACACAATAACTACATAACCCTCTCAAAAAAAAAAAAATCTTTATTTACATATATAAAAAGTATCTATATTTACGTATTCACAGTTTGTAATTTAAAATATTTATCTCAAATTTTCTCTTTGAATAATTAGGTGTCATTGCAATTGCAAGCTCTTTAGGTGTTCCAATATTTTTTTTATTATCCATATAAACAATATTTACATCAAATTCAATTTTTGTTTTTTATATAAGGATGATGAGAATAGCAAAATGAGTTAATTGGCTTAATAAAAAATGAGAATTGCAAAATGAGAATAATTCGCTATTTTTATTTTATTTTTCAATAAAAAATTATTTGTATATAATTGGCTTAATATATATATATATATATATATATATATATATATATATATATATATATATATGAACTAAAAGTTTAAAAATATTTTTCTTGTAACTCTAATTCTTGATTATTAATATCATTTATACTATTTAACACTATATATATATATATATATATATATATATATATATATATAAATAAAATATTGTTAATATTATCACATATTATTTCATTTCATTTATAACATTGTTGAGATTTTACATTTTTAACTATGAGAATATTTTTAAGGTTTTTATACTTTGACTTATTTTACCTTTATTTTTTTTATTTGAACATTAATTCTAATGGAAATACAGACAATTATCCATGTAATTTACCCACTATTTTTAAGTTAATAAATATATTTAATAATTGTTCCATTAAATTTGGTAATTAAATTAGTTTTTAATTAATAAGTACTTATAATTAATTTTAAATAATATTAATAATAAAAATTAAAATATAAAAAATAAATTATATTGCTTTGATAAAAAATATAAATAAAATATATGATAATGTAATAAGTTATTAATTTACGAAATTAGTAGTAGGATCATGTGATTACTATAATGATCCTACGTCAGCACTATACGAAATTAGTAGTAAAAAATATAATCTTGATAAGAAAAACCGTACCCTACCGCGGCGCCTCCTTCATCTCCACCCACACCAAAAACCAGCAATCACTCTCCGTTTGAGTGAGGCATTTCATCGAACACTCTCGCCGCGCCCCCTTTTTCTCTAAACACCGAAAACGAACACTCACACATTCACTCTCTGTATGTATGTGTGAGGCATTTGATCGAACACCACCGCTTCGCCTCCTTCATTTCTCCTTGAACACCATAAACTACACTATCTCTGTGTTTCTGTGACGCATTTTATCGAACATGTCGTCGGCGAAGTGGCGGGCCCTGCAGCACCGCCACCGCTACACCTACACCGCCGTGGTTTTCCCTCCGTCGTTCCTCTCCTCTCTCCCCCTCCTCCTCTCCGACCCTCTCCTCTCCCCCTTTCACGCCTCCCTCCTCAACTTCACCTCACTCTCCTCCACCCTCTCCCAACTATCACACGCCAAAAGCCTCGCCACCACCTTCCTACACCTCCTCCAATCCCATCCTCCCTCCGAACCTCACTCCAAACCTCAACCTCCTCTTAACCTCGCCTCCGAACTCTACCTTCACCTCCTCTTCCTCGACAACTCCCATCCCCTCCACAAAACCCTTCTTTCCCCCCTCGCCAAAACGACGCCGTTCCACTCTATCCTCGCCACCTCCTTTAACACTCTCCTTCACAACAACCACTCCTTCCCGCGCTTCGCCGTCTCGCGCGCCGCGCTCTCCGTCCTCGGCATGCCCAAGCTCGATTACCTCGCCACAGTGGTGGAAAATTGCGCTGTCCTCGTGGCCTCTGACGCCGTTAATAGCCTTGCCGGCGTTGTTTTAGAGACGGCGAGGCCTTCGCCTGTTGTCATGGAACAGTGCCAGGAAGCTCTGTCTTGTTTGTATTACTTGCTGCAGAAGTTTCCTTCTAAGTTTCACGAAAGCAAGGGTTGTGAGAGTGTTGTTGTTATGGAAAAGATTGTGAGTGTTGTGTTGAGTGTTTTAAGTTCAACTGCATTTTCGAGGGACTGTTTCGTGGCGGCTGGTGTGGCTCTGTGTGCTGCTTTTCAAGTTTGTGTGAGTAAAGAAGAGCTTGGTTTGGTGTTGATTGGAGGGGTGTTTGATAATAGCTTGCAGGGTTTGGATTTGAGTGGTGGTGATGGTGGCATTAGTGAGGTTAGGGATGTGATTGGGAGGATTCCTTGTCAGGGGGATTTATATTTAGGGATTTGTGGCCTTTCTGTGTTGAGTAGGCTTTGTTTGATAAGGGGGGTTCTCACTGCGGTTTCTAGGGACTTGCTTAATGCCCATTTTAGTGGCGTGGGTGGCGTTAAGACTGTGTTGTATGATGGGGTTTTGCCTGAGCTGTGTAGGTACTGTGAGAATCCTGTTGATAGTCACTTCAATTTTCATGCGCTGACGGTGATGCAGATTTGTTTGCAGCAGATTAAGGCATCGTTGTTGGCGAATTTAACTGATTTGTCCGGGGAGTATGAGCCAATTCCGGAGGAAATGGGGGTGCGGCTGCTTAGGATTATTTGGAATAACTTGGAGGATCCTTTGAGTCAAACGGTGAAGCAGGTGCATCTCATTTTCGACCTTTTTCTCGACATTCAGTCTTCACTCTGTGAGGGTGGGGATAGAATAAAGGAGTTTCTAGTGAAGATTGGATCGGATCTTCTTTCATTGGGTTCACGGTGTAAGGGGAGGTATATTCCTTTGGCATTGCTGACGAAGAGATTGGGAGCGAGGAAAATGTTGGATATGACTCCAGATCTGTTGTTTGAGACAACACAGGCATATGTTGATGATGATGTCTGCTGTGCTGCCACATCGTTTCTGAAGTGCTTCCTTGAGTGTTTGCGTGATGAGTTCTGGGAGAGTGACGGGATTGAAGGTGGGTATGCCCTCTATAGAGGACATTGTCTTCCCCCAGTTCTTTATGGGCTAGGTTCTGGATTCTCAAAACTTCGCACCAATTTAAATACTTATGCCCTGCCAGTTTTACTGGAAGTGGACGTGGACAGTATATTTCCCATGCTTGGTTTCATCTCAGTTGGGCCAAATGGGGATGAGAACAGACTGCAATATCCACAGCTTGTTTGCACGGACATGGAAGTGAATTTTGAACAGAGAATTGCAATTCTAGTGTCATTACTCAAGGTATCTCGGTCACTTGCTTTGGTTGAAGGAGACATTGATTGGGCTGAAAATCCTCCAGCAAATGCAAAAGAGCCTGGGCTGGGCATAGAAAGCCATGCTATTGTTTGCATCAAAGGAATAAATGTTAGGATCCATGTTCAGTGGCTAGTAAATGCATTGACTCACGTGGATGAGTCACTGCGTGTAGATGCTGCTGAGTCTCTTTTCTTAAACCCCAAGACAGCTAGTCTGCCGTCTCATTTAGAGCTCACTCTAATGAAGGAAGCTGTGCCACTGAATATGAGGTGTTGCTTCTCAGCTTTTCAGATGAAGTGGAGCAGCTTATTTCGTAAGTTCTTCTCTAGGGTTCGAACAGCTCTGGAGAGACAATTCAAGCAAGGAAACTGGAACCCTCTTGAGCATGATAAAGGCAGTGAAGTTTATCCTTCTAATGGGAATAGTAAGGAGTCAACAATTAAAAGAGCTAATGATCTTTTTCACTTTATGAGGTGGTTGAGTGGCTTCTTATTTTTCTCATGTTATCCTTCTGCTCCTTACAAGAGAAAAATAATGGCGATGGATCTCATCTTGATTATGATAAATTTTTGGTCTATTAAGTCAGCTATTAGTGAGGAGTTTAATAGTTCTTTGTCAGGAAGTCACCTTTATCCTTACAGCAAGGGGATGACTTCATCTGATTCAACTCTATTGTTAGTTGGCTCAATTGTTGATAGTTGGGACAGGTTGAGAGAGAATTCGTTTCACATATTACTCCATTTTCCAAGCCCACTGCCTGGAATTTCTAATGAAGACACACTGAAGAAGCTGATTGCTTCATCAATGCGATTAGTTTGCAGTCCACGTGTAAGGGAAAGTGATGCTGGAGCTCTATCCTTACGGCTTATATTTAAGAAGTACGTGCTGGAGCTAGGTTGGTTGATTGAAGATTCATTAAATGTTGTCCATTTAAGCTCCAAGCCTGAATTGGTAAATGAAGTTAGTCAGTCCAATAAATGCAGGAATCCTGTAATACTGTATTTGAAATCAATGATTGATTGGTTGGATGCTGCTGTAAGAGATGGGGAACAAGATCTTTCTAAAGCATGCAAGAACAGCTTTGTCCATGGTGTATTACTTGCTTTGCGTTATACTTTTGAGGAATTGGACTGGAATTCTGATGTCTTATCGACTAGCATCTCAGAGCTGAGATATTTGTTGGAAAGACTTCTGGATCTTGTAGTGAGGATAACTGCATTGGCACTATGGGTGGTTTCTGCAGATGCTTGGTTTTTGCCTGGAGACATGGATGAGATGCTTGATGAGGATAATCTTTTAATGGAGATACCATATGATGAGCATATGCCTTCATCTCAATGTGAGAATAATAATTCAAAACCTTCCCATGATGGCCGATCATCAGAACAGATAGTCATGGTTGGTTGCTGGTTGGCTATGAAAGAGGTACTTAACTTGAACAGTGTCTAAAAACTGAGCATACGAATATAGTAGGGTATTTTCTTGTCAAAAGGGTTAGTAGAAAGACTAAATATTTAAATTTTATCATTCATTATTTCTTCACGGTACATTTGCATGCTTATAATTGTAGAAATTATGCTAAGAAAACATATAACAGCAAATTGGTTATTTCAATGTGAATTGAGTCAAAGTTGTTCAGCATGTAATTGCATTAAGTATACATATTTTTTTCTTGTTCATAATGTTTCACTATGTTTTCTTCCTTAGGTGAGCCTTCTTTTGGGGACTATTATAAGAAAGGTGCCATTGCCAAGTAATGCTTGTTCAGATTTATCTGAGTTAGAGGGGGATTCTGTTGACACTGCTGGATTTTCATCTGATTCTGTGCTTGACTTGAAACAACTTAAAACAATAGGGAATCACTTTTTAGAAGTCCTCTTGAAGATGAAGCATAATGGTGCAATTGATAAGACGAGGGCTGGGTTCACGGCTCTTTGTAATCGATTACTTTGCTCTAGTAACTCAAGGTATGAATTTTGTTTCTCTATTTTTGTTTCTGTGAAATGAATAATTAATAATGCATATTAAAACAAACTTGAGTAGAGAAGGATAACAGAGAATATAGTAATATTCAATTAGATGACTACATATATTCGTAAATGGAATCTGGGTGTTAAGACACTACATAAATCTGTTATTTAATTTACATTTTGGCAGACAAATAACTTTTTTTGAGTGTATATTACAGAAGTCCAATTAGTGGGAGGATAAAATATCATTTGACGAGAACCTGATTAACTAAATATTGCATCACTGAAGTGAATCCATAAGTACGATCCTTATCTCATGGAAGTTTACAGGCTATTGTGTCTTTATTTCCTTCCTAATATTCCAAAATAATGCAAGGTACCGAGTTTGGAATTAAATTTTGGAAGTGGACTCTGCAATGCTATATACCATGTTTGGTATGCTATGCTTTCTAAAATTAAAATTATAATTGATTGCCATTGACAATAATTTGACAAATAATTGAATAAAGCATTCTTGAATCTCCATCTAGACAGTTATAATTATTATTCTCAATAAATTAAACCTCTGCATATCTAAATATTATTTTGGTATTCTTTTTAAAATTAGAATTATAATTCCCAATTAGTGTGACAATTCCAAGCAATTGAAAAATAATCAAATAAAGCATTCACTCTTTTTAATCGAGAGCCATATGATTCTAACTCCAATTTAATTTGGTGTTTTATATATTTTCGTGGTATTTACAATCTATTTATAATCTGGTGCTTTTGGTTGGTGTATAACTCTTGTACTGCGTAGATTTCATTGGATCTGTTGTTGACTGTATGCTAGATCTAAGCGGATGAATTTATTGTTGTTGTACTTTCAAGTAATGAATGCCTAAGTTAGGTGGCTTTAGCATCTATTCTTTGGTTATACATGTTAAAGCAATGAAGTCTTTAATTCCTATTTTCTTCACTTATACCATCATAAGATAAAACAATGATGTAATAAATGAGTTGTAAAATTTTAATTTACAATTCACGTACTGATGGGCAATGCACTTGCTTATGTTGAATGTTCTTGGGCTGTCATTCCCTCATATGCACAATACAAACAAAAATATGTTTGTTTGATAATGAAGGTTTTGTCATTGTGATTTGGTATTATATCAGAAATCACATGTTTTTACCATTTTTTAGATGTGTATCTTCCTTTTCAGACTTCATAGAATGACAGAGTCTTGGATGGAGCAACTTATGCAAAGAACTGTGGCCAAAGGACAAGTAGTGGATGACTTGCTGAGAAGAAGTGCTGGAATACCTGCTGCATTTATTGCTCTGTTTCTCTCAGAGCCAGAAGGCACCCCAAAGAAGCTTCTCCCAAGGGCATTAAGGTGGCTTATAGATGTAGGTAATGGGTCCATGCTGAATCAGATTGAAAGCAATAGAATGAATGGTGACCCATGCAAGTCAAAGGATTCAGCAAATGGAAAGAATTGTACACAGGCAGCTGAAAGAAATATCAAACAGACATCAAAGATCAGAGATGAAGGTGTAATTCCTACAGTACATGCATTTAATGTTCTAAGAGCTGCTTTCAATGACTCTAACTTGGCTACTGATACGTCTGGTTTCTCTGCTGAGGCTTTGATTTTGTCTATACGCTCTTTCTCTTCGCCATACTGGGAGATTAGAAACAGTGCTTGTTTGGCTTATACTGCTCTGGTTCGTCGAATGATCGGATTCCTCAATGTTCATAAGCGGGAATCAGCACGACGAGCGATAACTGGGCTTGAATTTTTTCATAGGTATGACTATTGGATCTGCTTACTTAAGCTATTAAAATCATATGAGAAGAACAATTTCATATTTCTAATCCAAAATATTGTTTGCTAAATGTTGTTTTCTTGCTTCATGAAAGTATTCCAGAAGCTTTTATGGTCTTCTAATATTGGTGCTGCTTGCAATCCCATAAATTATGTTGAGGTAGATGCCTTGCAATTATAGTTTTTAATGATGTGCTGTAGTGGTATGACCTCTGCCCACTATTCAGACTCTATAGAGAAGCATTTTTTGTGTAGTGGGAGTCTTGACTGCTATCCCATATATAATTCATAGCAATTGGGCCGCTCTGTTGACAAAGAAAATCTCCTTTTTACTTGTATGAGACACTGTTCCGTTTTTTTTTGTTATTTCCGTCTGAGAGAAAGGTTCTCTGTTACGAGATCATGTGAAGTTAAGAATGAACATGAGACCAAACAACCGTGCTAGTGATGCACACCTAGCAAACATGTCTATCTCTGGAATTTGACTAAAGGCTGTGTTCTATCTATTTTCTAAGCTTTTCTACATTTACAATACACAAAGATGAGCTTGCATTGACCTTGATACCGAATTCTGCTTAAAGTTCTTATTATTTTATTTAATTGATTACTATTATTATTCCTTCTACATATTTCTGATTATGGGAGCTTTAAGCTCCTGTAATTCAAGTGATTTCAATTTCAGGTAACGTACTTGGTTACATTATCTGTATGATAAGCTTTTTAAATCATACATACATACATACATACATACATGTTCAGTATGCAGTTATGTTACCATAGTTGAAAGATGGTACTGATTTTTTTATATATGTAAACTGATTTTTACCTTGTTAAGTGCGTACGAAAGTTTGATTATTAATATTATATACTTGCATGGAAAGTATATTCAAGTAAGAAGGTATTGAGATTGAAACCTCTGATGGAAGAGAATAAAAGGTAGACAAGTAGATGAAATGGAATCACATTTTATTCCTTCAACGTTTTATGATCATATATGTATTTAAGTAAATTCTCTGTTTTACATTAGGATGGAATTAATGAATATGGGCAAAAGCTGTAGGTTAAACTATGTCGTGGTCCTGATATTTTTTGTTGATAAATCATGCATTCATCTGAATTGTGGAGGAGGTAAGGGATATGGGATTAAACTCCAAGTACAAGAACTTTCTATAGAAAGATGACGATTACCATTAAAGACTAGTAAACTGTATCTTGATCTTTTTATGATAATTTCTGGTGTTATAAAATTATTCTCCGCCTTTCACCCAGTAACCCAAGCTTTTGATAGAGTTGATCTTTGGCTATAATCATCACATTGATAATGATATGCTTACTGAATGAATTTCTAAGATTGGAACATCTCCCGTGTTGGAGGCATATATATCTGTCATAATCATAAATTTATTATTATATCACCTTTTTCTGATTATGTCAGGTAACTTCACTGGTTTCTGGCATTGTTTTAATCTGCATATTGTCTGTTAATATAGGTATGATCAGATTTTGTATTGCAGATAGAATGTGGTAGCAGTTGTGGTCTTCCTTTCCGTGTTCATGTCATTTCACACTGTCCACTAATGATGTTTGCGTCATTTCAAAGTTGTTAAATTTTGGAAACGTTTTTCAAGTTTTCATATAATTATATGTTATATGCAGCCTATGGGCTTCTTGTCGTAATCTTAAGTTCGTATGTAATTTCACTAGTTTTAGATAGCACCGTCTGTATGAGTTTGTATGTTCAGAGATAGTGTGAACAGTTAATGACTTGACTCTTCAAATTTTTCTTGGACCTAGGTATCCGTCACTACATTCATTTCTGTTTAATGAACTGGAAGTAGCCACAGAGTTTCTGGGCTGTGCATCTTCAGGAGATTTAGAATCCATCCGTGGAAATAATCTGCATCCAAGCTTGTATCCTATTCTGATTCTCTTATCTAGGCTCAAGCCTTCATCAATTGCTGGTGAGACAGGAGATGAACTAGACCCTTTCCTTTTCATGCCTTGGATTAGAAGGTGCTCAACCCAGAGCAATTTACGAGTTCGTGTTCTTGCATCTAGAGCTCTAACAAGTATAGTATCAAATGAGAAATTGCCACCAGTCCTTCACAATATTGCATCCGAGTTGCCCTGTGTAGATAAACTGATAAAATCAACTAATTTTCCAATTTCGTTCAACTTCATTCATGGAATTCTCTTGCAATTGAGTACGTTACTGGATATAAATTGTAGGAATCTTGCTGATAACCCGAAGAAAGATCATATCATTGGTGAGTTGATCCAAATTCTTCTATCTCGGTCATGGATTGCAAGGTCAACTCATTGCCCGTGCCCTATCCTTAATGAAGCGTTCTTAAGAGTTCTGGATCAAATGCTCAATATGGCAAGAACATTCAAGATGACAAAACATTTCTGTTCCATTTCCAAGCTGTTATTGGAGCTGTCAACTGAATGCTTAGCTTTAGAATCACATAGCCTGCCATATTATGATCCAACCATTACTAAACTCCGCGAGCAAGCAGCCATTTCCTATTTTGGATGTTTTTTTCATGCACCTATAGATGAGGAAGAGATAATCAATATGCCACCGAGACATTCTCTTCCCAGTTTAGAATCATTGCCTGAAGATGAATTGGAGAATGCTTCTCTTGGTCTTTTGGATAGGTTGATTTGCTGCTTGTCAGACTCATTATATGAAGTTCGACTCGCAACACTGAAGTGGTTGCTGAAGTTCCTAAAAGCATCGGAGCCTTATGGTAAGGGATATGATCTATTCCGTATTGACATCAGGGCTGTTCAACTCTGGGCAAAAACTAACCTTCATGGAACTTTGGTGAAAATTTTGACATCAGAGAAGCACCACAAATGTACAAATTATATTCTGAAGATCCTTGTAGCTTGGAATTTGCTGCAGTTTGAAAAGGCTGGTCATGGCAAGTGCACTGGTACAAGTTATGTTGGTGAAATGGACTTTGACTCCGTGTCACAATTTTGGAATGAATTAGTTTCATTTTACAAGCAAGCAAGACATGCGAAGATCCAAGAAACCCTTGTTCGTTGTCTGGGAGTGTGCATTAAGAGAATTACAATGTTGTTTGCAATTTCTATTCTGCCAAATGAAGGAATAGAGTTTTCAGTATGTGGTGAAACTAATAAGGAGGAAATATTAGTTTGGTCATTTGATTGCATTGTTTTCTTCTGTAACATGATCAAACAATGTAGTTCGTCATCTGAGCCAGCAAGTATGCGCTATGCAGCAGCTGAATCTTTGGTAGCATCTGGCTTGCTTGAGCAGGCTGAGCTCCTTGGCTCATTTGTTTTGAATAACGAGATTCCCTCGGGCACTTCATCTTGTTTTGTGAAAAATGAAGGTTTGAATTCGTATGCTCATCAGGTACTAGATGTATGGTTCACATGCATTAAGCTTTTGGAAGATGAAGATGACTCTGTTAGATTGAGGCTTTCTTCCGATGTTCAGGAGTGTTTTACTACAGAAAAAACTAGAAGCAACCGTACTCCTGGATTGGTTCCAATCCAAGTAGATAGAGTGATAAGACTCTCTTTTGACCATCTCTCTTCCATTTTTGGTCACTGGATTGATTACTTTGATTATCTTTGTCAGTGGGTATTACGTGCTGAGAGCTGTGTAGCACCCCAAGGAGATCTTGTCAGACGGGTTTTTGACAAGGAGATTGACAATCATTATGAAGAGAAGATGTTGATCAGTCAAATTTGTTGCTCCAGTATGGAAAAGCTACCTATTTTAAAGTCCTGGGCTGACAAAGATGAATTGAGGAGCTATCTACATGGATGGAGAGCTAGATTTTCCCATCAACTAGTGTCATATGCTGAAGACCATATTGGTAAACAGGAAGCGAATGATTGGATAGGAGGCGTGGGTAACCATAAAGATGCATTCTTACCCTTGTATGCAAATTTACTCGGTTTTTATGCTCTTTCTAACTGCATTTTCCTTGTATCTGGCAATAATGATACCAAACTACTACCTGATGTAGTTGTTCTTGGAAAAGCCATCAATCCATTTCTTAAAAACCCTTTGATTTCTAACCTATACCAGTTAGTTGTAAAATCACATGAGAAAATGGCCGGTGATGTTGCTAACGGCTTGTTCCCTGAGATGAGAAATTGCTCTATCTGGGATAGTTTTAATCCTTATTTTCTTCTTTACTAGGATTTGTACACCAGGTGTAGTTTCACATTAAAGGTTTTATGGGAGCTTTTAGCAAATTTTGAAACTGCTGTAAAATTTTCCTGGCGATGATTGTGTATACAATTTTGTAATTGGAATGTAATTTTATAATCGATTTTGTTTGACAAGCTCATTGTTTTCCCAGGCCGTTAACTATATCTTCCATAACTTACTGTTCTGGCATTTATAAATGTTATGTTATTTGTTTTTCTGTAATGTCCCTTACATAAATTATATTTTTATTAAAATACAGAGATTGCAATGGAAAATAATTAAAAAGAGAGAAGTCTAATAACAGAGTATAAAAAAGATATAATTTCCAACAAATTTATTATTATAAATTAAGTCAATCGGTTTCTTTAATTATTATTAGTGGGCTAATGAAATACTAGATCAGAGGTAGTAAATATATGGAGTCATGGAGTCAATTGAAATCAAACTCTAATTGATACAACTCTATTTTTTCTCGGTGAGTTTTATCTTACCCAAAATGTCTTGAAATACATTTGGCTATAACTATGATACCAAAAGGTAAAAAAAAAAACCCTACAAATACCTCTTTGTTAAAGCTTAATTTAGAAGGTTTTATGATGTATTTTTTCCATGACACACCCCTAACGTTAAACTGCACAAATCAGAAATTCTCCACACCTCATGGTTTCGTGAACTTGAAAGTCCGCAAATAGTCTCTCCTTTTTCAACTCCATCTTAGAACAATACTCACTGACACGGTTATCTTCAATGTTCCGATACTGGTAAATGGATTTTTATAGAGATCTGGACGTGTGACAAAATTTTAAAATTAAATGATAAGACATTATTTTTAAAATTCATAAAATGCCAAAATCAGTACAACAGAGTTAACTATTCTAGCATTAAAAAAATTACTATTCCTAATTTGGCACAACATATTCAACTCTGTTCTGTTCATGTGTCAGCATAAAAAAAATCGCAAAATTCTGGGCTACATTTTATCTGAGTACGAAACAGAACACTTGCAGCACCACAATAACCCCCAACTTTGATTTATTAAATAAACAGGATGCGCAATGCATGACCCCTATTCGGTTTTTCTCTCTATGGAGGTCATTATCCGTTGTTCCTAATGTGTTTCTTTTCTTTCTTTATGGCTCTGGTGCAGCACTGAACCAACAGGTCTAACCACAGCCTTGGCTAACAGAATAAAATTCAGTAAAATCCCTGGTATCAGTTATGCTGTAGTGGTAGGTGATAAATTACCTGCACATCATAGATGAAACCCCAAAAAAGTTATGGTTCGTAGAAGGAACTAATTTACAAATGAAAGGAACAAGAACAGCAACCATTCATAGAATAAAGTGGAATTTCATATGTATCAATGGAAGAAACAAAGTGAAGCATCACATGGTTTTGTTCATTTGTTATCTGACTTTCCAATGAAACACGACAATAAGGTATGTATAAACTTCCTTAATGAAATAACTATCCATGCAACATAGGATGATACAAGATTTTCATTCTAACTGCTCCTACTGGCTTTACTATTAGGTGTCTTCATGGACCTGGTTCATAAATCATATGTAGAAAAGCCAAATCATAATCAGTCTAAAATTGGGAAGAAGTTCCCATTGAAGTAGAAAACGAGCAAACTTTCATACTCAATTCCTATATGATCAAACCAAACGTAAGTATATATTGATTTGGTAGGGTACATTATCACGCAGAAAATAAACCCCAAAGCTACATCCCCAACAGAAGAGAGATTACCATCAGAACTACCTCTAGGGTGAATTATCAAGCTCTAAGGAATTTTATGACGTTTCCTGGAAAACAAAAAAATAACTTTTAGTCAGGAAGCAAAGATCATGGGATAGATACATAGATGACAGAAAAAAAAAAGGTAGGTTACACCATATAAAAAGCTATGAATTTTGAACACATGTACAATTAAATAACGTAGAAGTCAAGAGGAAAGAAAGAGCCAGTTAGTTTTATTCATTTTTTACTTCCAATTTTAAGCTAGGCTTTAAAGTTCCAATACATTCTTAACTACTATGTTATAAAACAGAAGCTTCAAACTTCCACAGTAATTATTTCTTAGTCCATGGACCCCTTCTGATTTCCTATCTAAGGAATAAAAGTTCAGCTTTCAATTCTATCACCACAAACCCTTAAACCAGTACAACAACCCCACAAATTAACTACAGCGTCAACCACACCAACTCAATAATGGGAGAGATGTTAGCAATATACTCTTCAGTACATTCTTCAATATTGGTCCATTTTTCAAAAGCTTATTACTCACTTCAAAAAGTGATTGATTTCCGAGATTAACTAATTTGAACTTTCAGAAAAGAAATGTTGTTAGCATTTCGCCCTCCAGGATATTGATCCATCCCACCAAACAACTAGTCACCAAAAATTTCGAAAGTTAAAAAATACAAAAAAGACAACAACAGCAAAAACTTTTAACTTAAATAAGTTTTTCATCCTTGAAATAGCCGTATTTTGTTTTTGGATGCTAAAAATTTGATGTATGACTTTTGGTCTCTAAAATATTTTTTCTTTGTTTTTTGCCCTTGTTATTTTGTTTTGATCAATCTAATATTTGTTCATTTTGAACTAGACCCTTTTATCATTAACAGTAACATTTTACACCGTCTAATGTTTTCAACCATCGTAATTTTTATGCCACAATGATGAACCAACAATATCACAGAAGATATCAACATAACCAGCCTTTCACTTAGATAAAGAAGCCAGATGCTTAGACGAAAAAAACAGAAGAAGTTTGCGGCAAAAGGAGAGACCTCTCCATTCAACATTTGGTGAAATAAAATAAACACTTGGATAGAAAAGGTAGGTAAATACATCCCAGGATACTTACTTCTCGTATAATTTTAGAAGCGATTTTGGCCTTGGAAAGTTCATTTGGTCCCTTTTTATAGTTTGTAATTCAACTGCACTCCTTGTTTCTGGTTGCCCTCCACTTTTTTCACTTTTTGGTTTCCCTTTATTCCTTGATTCAGGTTTCCAGTTAGCTTTGATAAGAGATTGACCCAGTAAGTGAGCAATGTCTGTAGCCATTGCCTCTACTTTCTTCACATAAGGAAATGTCTCCTCATCAAAGTGGTTCGACAACCACAAATACATAGATAATACTTGATGCCTAGTCTCAAGGTCTAGGAGTTCTGTATCATTGTGAGCAGAACTTTTCGGCATGCCCATAGCTACATTTACGGGGAGCTTTTGACCAAATGATGTGGCAAATCTAAGTAAATGGTACATTGCTTTTGGGTCTCTAACATTAACAGGAGCAAAACAGAAGTAAAAACGGTCTTCTAGAGATAATCCCTGAACCTTCTCTAACATATTAGCAATCTTCTTGACGTGAGCATATTGACACAAGAAGTATGACCCATCCAAACGGCAACTTTCACCAAATTTATTCAAAATTTGGCTGAATGTCAAGTCCGGAAGTTGCCCAGCAAACAATTCAACCTGCTCATAAAATGGAAACAGGCCTACCTTTTTTACATTATCAAAAGGTTGTTTCAAACACTCAATTAAGTAATCCAAATCATCTAAATGCAAGGTTGTGGCAAGTCCATCAGGATATAGGCATCCTCTCCGACCAGCTCTTCCTGCAATTTGCTTAACCTGCGATGCTGGAACAGGAACCATTTTGTCACCATTGTATTTTGAAAGGCTATTAAAAATCACCCTTCTAATGTTAAGGTTCAGGCCCATTCCCACTGCATCACTGGCCACCAGAACATCATATTCATTACTTTGATCATTGAACAAAGTAGCCTGTTGTCTACGAGTTTCAGGTGGTAGAGCACCATATATCACACAACAACGGTGTTTAGTCAGTTTCTCAATTGCCAACTTAACCTCAAATATCTCTCTCCTAGAGAATGCAACTACACAATCCCCAGACCGAATATTTTCAAGATTTCCAAGCAGTGTCTTAGCTTCAACCACCAATGGTTTGAACCTCTCATACTGCTGTTCATACAACTCATCCCCTGTATCTTGACAGATCTTCTTGACAATATCCAGAACACTAGGATCACCACACAAATGTATCTCATCAGCCTTCAACCCAAGGAGAGCCCTTGTCCATGCATACCCCCTATATGGATCGGCCATCATCTGAATCTCATCAATTACGGCCACATCATACAATTCCTGTGTCGATGCCATTTCCACAGTACACGCTACATGGTTTGAAAATGGTACACGCTTCTTTTCCTGCCCAGTCAACAGGCTGCAATAAATCCCCTTCGCATTAACCTTGTCAAAAACTTCCATAGCCAACAATCTAAGTGGACTACAATAAACCCCTGTCTTTGCCTCCATAAACCGTTGCAAAGCATTGTACGTCTTGCCACTATTTGTCGGCCCACAATGATAGATAATTTTCCGTTTCATCGCCCGTGCGAATGGAAACCAAGTGTGAGGCTTTGTGAGGTCAGCCGACTCAACCATATCCCTGAACCTCTTTATCTGATCAGGAAAATTCTCCAAACAAAACTCTACAAATATAGGAAACAAAAACCTCACTGCCTCATCACTGGCCCCAAGATACACCAAGTACTCGGCAACATCAGCAGGGCACTTCTTCCTGAGAAACTTCAGGAACTTGTGTGTTGCTGTGGGAAAAAATGACAAACCAATGTAAATGGCAAGGGCCTGATTGGATGCCCAACCTGATTTGGCAAACCAATGGCACACTTCTATCAACACCTCAACCTCCGTCCTATCCAGCTTTGAACCACTTTCCACACTGCACATTTCGCGGTACAATTCGACAGGATCACGTGATGCCACGTGGGCAAATTCCTCATTCTTCTTCCCTAGCTCACTGTTATTATCACTACCACTACTACTAGTACTACATTCCTCTAAAGAATCAACAATATCTAAATTGTATTCATTACTACCATCATTTGCAACAACCCCATGTTCAGAAAAACCATGAATGCTACTAATAACATCATTTCCAAGCTCAAAATCAACGTCCTTACCACAATCTGCGTCGAACTCACCTTCCGGCGTCTCGGCGCCGCCGCCCTCATCTCCGACGGCGGAAAAAAGCCTTGTGGGGCAGCTTCTGTCGCCAGGAAGTCTCGAACTTGGGGAGAATCTCGGGCGAAGAAGCGGGTTTGAGAAACCGGAAAAAATTGGGGAAACCGGGTTCTGAAAAGTATGGAATTTGGAGTGGTTGAAGAGAAGAGCTTGAAGCTTTGAGAGGGTTCTCTTGCGTGTGCACAAGTGGAATAAGCCTCTAGCCATTAGAATTGGTTGAATTGAGAGGATGAAAGAGGACACAGAAGTGGGACATTCAGATTAGGGTTCTTATTTTGTTGGGTTTGGTTTTGTTTGATGGTGGAAATTAGAGGGAGAGAGATAAATGGTTGGATGAATTGAATTTGTTGATAATTAGGGTGTGGAAGTGTCTGTTGAGAGAAGGAGAGAAAATTGAGGGAATGTTGTGGTTAGGTGTTTAGATGTTCCAGAAAATCTAGGGCTTCAATGCCCCCCTTATTTTTTTTTTTTTCATAATTTTACGTAGTGTAAAAATACTATCTAAAGTGTTTATCTATTTTTTTTAAGTTAGTTTAAATGCATAATTTAGTTCTTTTATTTTTTTTAATATTTTATCCTGGTTTAAAATTTTTAATTTATAGATGAATATTAAAATTGATGTAAATTTTGGATTATCCTTATGGATGTTTTGATTTCATTATATTATATGTTTAGTTGAAGTATCAATTTTAATGTGATTAGGTGATTGATTATAATTACGTAACAAATTTATCATGTCACATTAAATTACAGGAAGAAAAGAATATGGGTTGTGGATGTATTTAGGATATGAACAATTGAGAATTTGTGCAAATTAGTTAAGAAAAATATGAGGAGTTGCAATGTTGTCGTGGAGGTAGAGTTCCATTTGTGACGAAGGTCGCTTGGCTCCTTTTTCGTCACTGTCTTCTCGTCGATGATGGTCGCTTATCATCACTCCTCTCTCGTTAATGTCGTTTCTTCGTCGTCGCAATGGGTTGCAGGTAATCCCTCTCGCGTTCTCAACTTCACCACCATCGCATGTCCCTTTCCCTCGTCATTGGAAACAACTCACTCCCTTGATGTTGTCGTCACAAACCCTAACTGGAACCAACATCCTCTTCCTTCGTAACAGTCAATTTCACACACACCAGCTATTGGAACCCTAAACCCCCACTATCGTCATAAATGGAACTCCCACCTCCCCTGTAGTTGTAGATCCTCTCACTTTCCCTCACTCATTTGCATAAACTCTCAATTGTTCAAATTCTAAACACATCTGCGGTTCTATTCTTTTCTTCCTATAATTTTAATCTGATGTGACAAATCTATCACGTAACTATAACCAATAATCTAATCACATCGAAGTGACACTCCATCTAAACATATAATATAACGAGTTAAAATATACATAATAGTAATCCAAAATTGATATCAATTTTAATATTCATGTCTAAATTAAAAATTTTAGGACCAAATTAAAACATTTTAATTAATAAAGAAACTAAATTACTTATTTATACTAAATTTATTACTATTCAAGAGTTTTAAAACTATATTAGATAGGCAATTAAAACCCTTGAATAAAGATGTGTTGAAAAAAAATTATATTAATGTTGATTTTTTTACCAATACTCAGTATTATAATATTGAAAATCCTCACGCGAATTATAAACAAAGAAATTTGAATTTCACTGGATATTTTTTTCTTTAAGTGTGCATTTTTGTAAAATACTATCGATAATTTAAAAACTAAATATATCAAATAATAAATATACTATCGATAATTTAAAAAGTAAATATATCAAATAATAAGTAAGATGTATATTCGTAGGTTGCATAGATAGTAAAGTATAGACAAACTTATAACAAAAAAAAAATATTTCTATTACATAAATAAAAACAAATTAAAGTAAATTTTATCAAGTATTATCTTATTGTTCAATTCACATTAGAATTTCAATTCACTTTATTCTTTAATTTTATAACATTTTTTAATCAAAATTAAAACTTTACTTCTATAATATGTAAAGTAAATATTTGTATCAACTGCTAACAAGATCTCTGAGATAAAACTTCAATTCAATTGGATAAAATCAGCCAGAGAACACAAGTGAAGAAGTTTATGTCCTTCCTTTAAATATTCTAATCATAGATCCTCTGTTCTGTTTGAAAAACAACATTAATATCTCAATCTCAAAGCACCACAAGGATAAAGCCACCCTCAACCCCTTATCTCTCTTCTTCTCCCTCCCTCAAATTCAGCTTCCAAGTTTCCATTTTTTTCATTCCAAATCAGAAAATGAAAGTTCTATCAGCATGCAATTTGTGTTCAGTGGGAGTGCCAACTCACAGAAGAAGAAGCTGTGTTCTCAGCCGCCGTGAGATTTGCTTTGATGGGATGTCCTCTGTCTGCTCTTACTCCCAACACTCCCCAAACGAGACCGTTTCACACATCAGGTCTCCCCCACCCCCCCACCCCCCACCCCAATTACGCTATGTACCCCATTGTTAATGCAGATTGAGATTTCAGTAAAAGCTGCATCTGGGTGCGGGCCTTTTGTGGTTGCATTTCCAAAGTTTGCGTCTTTGTGCATGCTCTTAGAACATCTCCAATGGCCATTTTTTCCCATTTCTTATGCTCAAGAAATTTTTGTCGAAGAAATTTACCGCTCTTCTGTATTCTAAAGTTTGCATAAGAAACAGTGAACAGTGGGAAAAAAATGCAAAAAGAGTTTATCGATTCATATACAAACTTTTGAAAACCGTTACCAGTTTTAAGGTAGTTACAGCAAAAGTCAATGAATTTATCATACATTACAATTTGTGATTAATGACAATATAAGTTTTTCATTAAGAGTGCTTAATTCTTTTTCTCCCTTAGTATTTAACAGTCAAAACAGAAAATAGACCGTCAAAGTGTCAGGTCCTAAGATTTCAATAACAAACTGCAACTGGGTGTATGTGTTTCGTGCTTGCATTAGCTAAGATTGAGACTTTGTGCGTCCAAGAGTGCGTTTTCATTGTTGGTGTTGCTTGTTTTTATGTAGGGTTGGGACTTTTATTGATGTTTGCATGTTTGATTGATTACCCATGTAGCAGCAATGTTCGAGTTCAAGATGAAACTTTAGATTTTGGTGCAATGCTGGGGAAGGTTGTTCTATCTCCCACACGACGTGTGTTAGTGGCGAGTTTAACTATGTTTTCCTGTTTTTGTTCTTCAAGGTACTTGTCAGGTCCGCACGGTTCTGCTTTTGTGTTCAACTTGTTTGATTGATTGTATGTTCGAAAATTTATATCTTTTGAACTGTAGTTTTAATGGTACATGTTAACTACATTTTTTTTTAATTGCTTGAAGCATTTACGAATGAATTTAATCAAAATATACTCACAGTATATTTTATATTGCTATGTATGTACGGCATGGTAACATTTTTAGACGTTGGTAATGATTGCTTTGAAAAACATACCCGAGTTGAGCTCTAAGAATAGTTCTTAGTCTTCCTATATTCTCTTCTTACTAATCCCCCTACTCAATAAAGAAATAATTGAATATTTTTTATACTTTGAGGACATCAAATGTTTTATATATTACCCAATTCTAATTATTTGACAATATAAAAAGCTTTACGCCCATAGTGCATCAAAATTAAACTATTAACAGGGTATAAGCTAATTTATTTTTTTTGTAAATGCTGGTGAGATGCCTTTGGTTTGGTGTATTTGACTTTGATTAGTAGTTTAGTTTGTTACATGGACATGGAGTTGTGAGGTGCCAATGGTGGGGTGAAGATTTTCTGCAGTCAAAGAGAAAGAACTTTGAACCTTAACCTTTTATTTTATTTTTGAACTTATAAAGTTCATGTAATATTAGAAGAAAAAAATTAACCATTAGATCATGATTGTACCCGGGACAGTGTTAAATGCGTCTGCATTGATTCTAGGCCTCCAATGGTGTCATGAATTCATAGTTCATCAATTGTAAATATAGATCTGGTATAGTGCAGTAACTGACTTCTAGCAGCATTTTCTAATTTTCTATTTTCTATCATTATAAACTCTTGTTGTATTCTTTTGTGCAAGTCTCTTCTAGTATTTACCAGCAAAGTTTATCTTCATGTCATAAATTGTAAATGTACAGCCCTAGCATTGGGAGATCCATCAGTAACACTTGACGAAGTAACCCCTCCTGTGTTTTCTTCTGGGCCACTCTTTCCCATAGAGGTCAGCTTTCAACTCTAGCCCCTCTTTTGTCTGGTGTGGCTGCATGGCACATTTTTTACAGCCTTCTAGTAGTTAATTCCAATTCATTGTGATTGGCAGGATCGAATTGTCCAACTATTTGAAAGAAACACATATTCTGTTGTTAACATATTTGATGTGACATTACGTCCTCAGCTTAATGTGACTGGTGTGGTCGAGGTAACTAGTACATAATCTATAATATCTTATGTTAACTCATTTAAGGTCTTATCAAGGACTCTAGTTTTTTTTTAATTATTATGTTGTGTCTATCTTATAAGCATAGTAGGGTTTTTATTGTCCTACATTAGAATATCAAACAATGTAATTTGTTTTTTGAATATATACTACCAGATTCCTGAAGGAAATGGTTCTGGAGTTGTGTGGGATGAGGAGGGCCACATTGTGACAAATTATCATGGTGAGAATCAGTAGACAAAATACAGTTTCTATGTTATGTCTGGCTTCTATCTTTAAAACAAAACACACATTTAGCTTTGGATCTCTTCGCTCTGAGTGAATGTGCATAAGGTTTCTCGTATGTGGATCAGGCCTTTATCCTGTATTTGATCACATTCAGTTGGACTTCTTGATTTGGCATGCGTACTTAATGTAACAAGTGGGAATTTTGTGCTCTGATGGAAAGCTCTGTAATATGCACTTGTTCATTTGTATGTATATTTTTCCAATCTCGTGTATTCATCTGACCAGGTGCTGACTTGTGATTGTTACATTTTTGTATCATTCAGTAATTGGCAATGCCCTTTCAAGAAACCCAAAGGCTGGTGAGGTGGTTGCCCGAGTTAATATTCTAGCATCAGAAGGGTGAGGTTCTTGTAGACGTTTTTTTCTTTGCATATATTGGCAAATTGCTGTTTCAAACTAACTAATATATGTAATTCTGATTTCTGACACTTGCTATTATAAAGGTTACAAAAGAATTTTGAAGGTAAACTTGTTGGAGCTGACCGTTTAAAGGATCTTGCTGTCTTGAAGGCATGATTTCTTTTTGTACTCTGTGAATTCATTTCTTCTGTAAATCAATTATCTGATTCCATAAACAATCTACTTAACAACATCACTGTTTCACTTTAAGATATTTTGCTTCCAAGTTAGATATCTTGGTATGTTAATTTCTGCTTTACTTCTACAATAATCCATTCCATTAAATGGTTATGTTATTATTCGAAGTCTAAATGTTTTTCTTCTTCTTGAGTTCATTAATGTTACTTGCGCATTAAAATAATGGTGGCTAAAAGTTTCTTTCTTTGTTAATTAAAATAGCACTCGTGACGTGATTGTTTGTATGCATGCATTTCTTTAACATTAGTGAAGTGGAGCATTTAGTAGTAGGATAAATCTAACAAAGTGTCATATGCAATCTACCTCCTTGTGTTCAGATTGAAGCTATCAAGCCTCTAGACTAATGACTGTCTAAATCACATCTTTTTATCACTATCTATCTCGTTTAGATTGTTAATATAATTGTGTCATACACATGATGAGATATTAACAAATTTACAAATGCAGGTAGATGCCCCTAAAGATATTTTAAGGCCTATCAAGGTGGGACAATCATCATCTCTAAAAGTTGGGCAGCAATGTTTGGCAATTGGAAATCCATTTGGTTTCGATCACACCCTCACAGTTGGGGTTATAAGTGGACTTAACCGAGACATCTTTAGTCAAACTGGGGTAACAATTGGCGGTGGTGTTCAAACTGATGCAGCAATAAATCCTGGGAACAGGTTACACTAGGTTCCTTTCCATATATGAGCTAGAAATAGTCCCCTTCCTTAAGTTTGGTGCAGTTCACTTGGTCAAAATGTTCTTTCATGATTTGTTTTAAGTGTTAACATGCTGTTCTATCAAATGCTTCATTTCTTACTTGTCCTATGATGCTAACAGTGGAGGCCCCCTTCTCAATTCGAAAGGAAGCTTAATTGGGATTAATACTGCAATATTTACTCGGACAGGCAAGTTATATTACCATCATAATCAGAAGGAATGGACCATGTTATGATGTATATTTGAATACGATAGCTGAGGAAACCTTTTGGGTTCACTTGTCCAAAAATTCTACCACTTTTCCCTTCATTACGTTGTTGATATATATTCACTTTCCTTTGCATGGCAAAATGACTGTTTAAGCTGCAAGTTCTAGTTGCTCTTGTTAGTTTTTTATGCTTCATGTTTTTGCCTTTGAATCTTGCTATTGCAGGAACATCAGCTGGTGTAGGATTTGCGATCCCATCTTCAACTGTATTGCGAATTGTTCCACAGCTCATTCAATTCGGAAAAGTAAGTGTTTCATGTAACCACAAATATGCAGAAACAATCTAGGAAAATCTTTAGCTTTGCCATGGTTGATGGTCCTTTTTCTGTTTTAATAAGAAAAACATTATTTTTCAAGATTTTAAGGAGAGAGAAAATGCTTAGTTGTTAGTTTGCGAAGAAAACACAGGAAAACAACTTTTGTTAGTCCTACATTATGTTTTTAATCATATTTCTATATATACTGTTGTTTTTACATTTTAGCTGCAGAATTTTTTATCATTTATATGCTCATGGCTATATGTATATTTGATTTCATAATTTGTCATTTAAGGTTGTTAGAGCTGGTTTAAACGTGGATGTTGCACCAGACTTAATTGCGAACCAACTTAATGTTCGAAATGGAGCTCTTGTTCTTCTGGTAAATCCACAAGTTTCTCTTCTTATACTGTAATTAAACTTAACTTCAAAATCATTCTTTGACTCTCTTGAGCTTATGTTCCTCAGGTCCCTGCAAATAGTCTTGCTGCCAAAGCTGGGCTGAATCCCACCACAAGGGGATTTGCTGGAAATATAGTCCTTGGAGATATCATTGTTGCAGTTAACAATAAGCCTGTGAGTTCTCTTCTGAAGAAACTTTTTGTTAACTGTTCAAACCATTCTCTTCTGAAAGCCAAAAAAAAAATATTCATTTTACATAGTCAACCTTTATTCTGTGGACAAAACTTAGATAGAGTTTCATAAGTGTTTGTGCTATAATCACTAAGTTTGTTAAAGGATTATGCAAATTACTGAGGAGAAATTCCAATTTTAGTAGGATAACTGTACAAATACAACCTAAGGATTTGTATATAAGTTATTTTCTTATTTTATCATCACTTTCCTATGCCTTTTATGTGTTTGGTCTACAAAGTTTCTTTTCAATGGAAATAGACTAGAAATAAGATGAGGTCCAACTGGTAGTTTTCTGCTCTATTTCTGACCTGTTTTCATTAATCTCTCTATTTCTTCCTATTTCTTTTCAACCACTCATCTTTAGTTTCTCTTTATTTCTCCCTTTTTTCCTTTACCTTTCATTCACTCTATTTCTTTTCTCTTTATCTAACCCTAATTAACAAATAGAGGAAGCATGCATTAATTTAATAATAATTTTGATGCATCTTTGTCAGGTCAAGAACAAAGCAGAGTTGTTGAAAACATTGGATGAGTATAATGTAGGAGATAAAGTGGTCTTGATGATTCAGAGGGGGAGTGAAAAGTTGGAGCTGCCAGTTGTACTTGAGGAACAAAGTTCTTGAAATGGTTTATATGCATTTATGTGTTATAGAACCACAAAATGTATTATATTTGCAGACATATTATTTTGTAGAATCAACAAAAAAGAAAAGAAAGTAATTCATCTGTGCATGGTTTGAAAAAGATGTTATATGATGAACTAGTTGGAAATCCAGGGAAAAAAACCACAATGCAGTATTTTCTGCAAGTCATTTTTCTCATATATTATAATTTATACCTAAATAATTGAAAAGAAAAAACGTGTAAGTATTGATTTCGGACAATACTTATGATGTGAACTCATTCAGTGTTTTGAGCTTATCTAATTCCTCGTACGAATTAGTTCAATAAAAAAATGGTAGAATTTACACAATAAAACTAAACCAAATTCAAATGTTTGAATTTCCAATTTTCTTATTAAGTTACCAGTTTCATATACATTGCTGTGTGCAAGCAATAGTGGAAACTACATTCATACGAAAGTGATGTAATTGACTTTTTTTTTTTAACTTGTTCACATACACAGAAACTAACAAGAAATATATCATGCATACTTGCTTGGTTTAACAATAATATATTATCATTGTAAGACGTATTACGCATTATTTCGTGGATTTGCTAGGCATTTAATTCGTTCTTTTTGTGTAAACGTAAAGAAATTTTTTTTTGACAAATGTATCAAATGAAATCACCAATCTTTTTATGATTAAATTAGTCGTTGAACCGGTAAATATATGAGTTTATGATTTAAAAGTTTAATTAGAGTTTCATCATATTTAATAAAATGATACTTATATAATATAACAAATATATAATAAGTTTATTATAATAATATTTTTTATAAGAGAAAAAGAAAATAATAAAAATTATGTTACAAATTCAGAATAATTACATAAAAACTCACAATTAAAATAAAAGATAAAAACTCACAATTAAAATAAAAGATGAGAATAGATAAACAAAATTGACGATAGACAATAATAGAATTTTACTACCAGAAAAAATTAGAATACCTTCTTTAAATCTAAGGAGAAAACAATAATAATATTCTCTCTTAAAAATAAGATAACTTAACTACTATGCAATATACAATAGAAAAGAAAATGAAGAGATTTGGAGTGATTTAAAAGGTAGACATTGTGCTCCTTTTATAATAAGAAAAATAAGCACTAACATATAATTTCCCTGATGTGAGACTTCTCTTATCGCATTCTCTCCCACTTGAAGATTTTTATTAAATTAATCAAATAGTCACAATACATTATTATTGTCTTCTATGTTGTTATTGTAATAGACCTTCAATATGATCGTTTTTATGGAAACTTATCACTGTGCTAACTGACTGTCATAATATCTGCTCTGTTCTTCTTGGTTTATCCTAAAATACGAGGTAAGATTCCTTACAATGTGCAAGACACTCTGACTGTCATAATACACAACATCTATTGCTGCTTGTGCTCGAGTTCCTCCATTATCCTCTTAATCCAAATAGCTTCCTTACATGCCTGGATGATTGTCATGTACTAAGCTTTTGTAATAGACAGAGCTATAACATCCTATAACTTGGATAGTTAGTTATTGTCTCTCTAAAACAAAGGTAAACTCATCAAGATCACCTGTAAAACTTGAACAAACATAACATCTGATAATTAGTTTTGATCTTACGAAACATAATACAATATCTAAGGTTCCTTTGATAAGAATTCTCTTGATAATACTCATACTCTCCACCACAATTTGTCATTGATATACATACCACTTTCATTGCTTGTGTAATGTCTGGTCTTGTAACGATCATGGTATTCATAAGACTTTCGACCATTGATGCATGCAATACTCGAGACATTTTCATCCTCCTTATTTCATTACTAGGACTCATACTTGAGAATAACATGATAGAAAAGGGGTAAAAACTAGCTTACACCCTTGCATATTAAAGCATTGTAAGACCTTTAGTAAGTAATTCTTCTAATAAAGTCAAACATTCCTATCTTTTCTGCCTCAGTAAATTTACATACCTAAAATCTTGTTTGTTGGTCCCTAGTTCTTCATATCAATCTTCCTAACCAACTATGTCTTCAAAAGCTAGATTTGAACTTTGTTGTAGCCTACCTCCAACATGTCATCCACATACATCGATCATTCTCATCGAATATATTGTAATAGTTACAATAGTCTGAACTTAGTATGTTATAATCAAGGCTAATCATGAAGAATTAAATCTCTTATACTATCACCTGGATACCCGGTTTAAACCGTATAGAGATTTGGTTAACCTGCAAGCCAAGGTTCCTTTTTCTTTAAGTGTTTTGCTAGGAGCACACCAATCTTTTCTCTAAGTTCATCTTGAAAAAAAAATATTTGTATCACCACTAACAATAACCTTGTGGATAATGGGATCCACAGGAAATACCCATTCACGTTGTTAGCATAGTCCAAAAATTCATCTTTTTCAAACTTTGAAAACACAGACTTCCTCTTGATGCAATACACTCATAATCTCCTGGAGTAATTATTATCATCACTGACACAAAATATTTGGTACCTCCTAGGATAATACTGACGATTCAACACATCATAATAAACCAAGTTCAATATGTGTTTCTTTCAGATACAATTTAAGGAGAAACTCTCAAATCTCCCTTCCTTGTCTCTTCTCCACAAATTTGTTATAGCGTTGTTAATTTCTTCCCACCTTTAATCTATGATGTCCACAAAAATTACCTTCATCTTCAGTTTTCACAATGAGAAACTATTCTCATTAAACTTCACTATCTCATATTTTGTTATCATGGTTTTAATCGACTTATGCATCTTTCACCATAAATAGTATTGTCTACCGAAATAACAGCGTAAACTGTAACTAGTATAGGTAAGCTCCCAAAAAAGAGAGATAGATAACTAATAGGCACACTTAAATATCAAGTCTTTCTTTATCAGAACTTTTCCCGGGTCACTAATAGACACACTTAAATATCAAATATTTCCTTGCCAGAACTTTTCCTAGACATGCACTGCCACACTATTCTAATTATTATAGCAGGCGAATAATATCATATCATAATAAATAAGAAACCAACCATCGACTCTAATACCACTGTTAGGAATCATAGTAATTGCATAAAAACTTATAACTAACATAAAAGATGATAAAAAAGAAACAAAATCGACAATAGACAATAATAGAATTTTACTACCGTATGAAATTACAATACTCTCTTTAAATCTAAAGAAAATACAATAATAATATTCTTTTTTAAATCGAGGCGAATACAATAATAATATTCTATCTTTAAAAAAAAGAACTCAATTAGTATATAATGAACTAGTAGAAAGGAGAAAGAAGAAATTTTGGGTGATTTAAAAGGTAAATATTTTATAATAGGAAAAGTACACGTCAACATATAATCTTCCAGTGGGATTTCTATTCTCACATATTGTTGTCATGATTATCTTAAATTATAATAAAAATTATAAATATAAAATTTACTAGAAAAAATAAAATAAATAATTGTTAAATAAAATAAAAATATAGTAAAATAACTATTATTTAAAGTTCACATAACACATAAAATAAAAATATTATGTCTTTTAAAAGAATTAATATTATTTTTCTTTTACTAAAATCGATTGGACAAAAAATCTAACATATTTTATTAATTTTTATCGATTTTGTTTTTAGTTAAATAAAATTCAATTATTTAAAAATACCGGACCGATGTTTAGATAATTTTTAATTAAATTAGTTAAATCGATCCTTCTAATACGATTTTTAATGAGGAATATGACATGTTGTATATTCATGATATACATTTTATAAAAAAGAAGGAATAATAGAATATAAGATTAAAGTATAAGAATATGATTGGGTATATTAAAAAAATAAAACTAAGCTAAATTAAGAAGAATATTTAAAAAAAGTAAATTAAGAAGATAGAATAAATAATTTTATTTCACTCTATACAAAAATAAAATAAAATAAAATAATATAAAAGAAGTCACCATCATTATGCTAAATTTATTGGACTACTAATTTATCGTTTAAACGAGTCAGTGTGAAATGTGGACATAAAATTCTGATTTAAGGGAAAAATTATGCTCAAGTTATTGTCCTCACGTAATTGTCCCTATTATAATACTCTTTAATATATTTGTGTGTCTTTGTATTTTATTGAATTGGATAATTGGAATTCCTGATCCTGTTATTGAAAAAATATATTCACAAAATACAAAAATAATAAATGTAATAAATTTATTTATTTTTCTGTCTCAAAAGAATTAAAAAGTTTATTTTTAAAAATAGAAAACTTTTATTATTGTTATTTTCTCCTTGTACATTAACTATTTAAAGATAACTTTGAAAAAAAAATTACAGATAAACTTAATGTTATTAACTAACATTTATTAATATTTTATATTTAAAATGGGAAGAGTATGTTTAGAGAAGATAAAGGTTATGGTCAATTAATAACATCTATTAAAGTAATAACCAAACTAATCACACAAAATAAATTTGTCAATTTAAATGTGGACAAATGAAGAAAATTACACAGAATTTTGAGAGCTAGCAATGAATTCGGTGTGAAAAATGGATATAGTGTTTGAAACCATGAATATTCCAAATTGCAATGCATTAAATTAATGATCAACCATTCAATCAGACTCATGAGTGGGGCCTCAGGAAAACCACATCACCAAGATTCTTCAAATTGATTGAAAAAATCAATAATGTTTCATTTTCATGCAATTCCAATTGAGTGTATTTGAATTTATATGCTTTTTACTAAACATTTTTAGCTTTTAATTGTTTTTTTAATTTTGTCCTATTGTTATTTTTAGTGTCAACTTGACTCAATTTCATTTGAAAAATGTAACTTTTATATTAATATAATCATATTTAATTATGTGATTTTAATATGATTAAAATATATATGTACTTATATTAATACAAAATATTGTTTTTATTTACAGGAATATATGTGACAAATATGTCAAGAACACCTTATCAAGTATCATCACATTAATGTTAGGAAAGATGTTTTGAAAACTGATCAGATGGTTTGTTTAATTCATTTACTTGAAAACCGAATTAAAAATTAGTTTATTATTTTTAAATAATCCAATTTTAATTAAATTGGTATAAAATCGAAAATATTAAATAGGTTTTCGAGTGAAACTAGTTTTGATAAAAAATATATATTTAAGATTATTTTATTTTATTATAAACTTTTCTATAAAAAATATAATATATTTTAATTTTTTTTATCTTATATAAATTAGATCCACTTTAAACAATTGTTATTCTATTATATTTTCATTTTATTTTAATAATTATTTATCTTATATTTTTTAATATTATATATATATATATATATTATATAATATTTATTATAATTTAGGGTGATCATCACAATAATTTTTATTATTTTTTTATAAAAAAATATTATTATTAATGAATTTATTATATATATTATATTATAAAAATATTATTTTATAAAATTTAATTGAAATAGTTAAAACTGAATTAAATCTTTAAACTCTGAATATATAGGTAATCACACCAGCTTTAAAAACATTGGTTTGGTTACCGTAGTAAATCAAATCATGTACTAAAAATAATAGTGAGGTGGAACTGTTAAAAAGAAAAAAGAAAAAAGAAAAAAAGCAAACAAAAAACTTATTTATCCTAATTATAAAGTCCAAGTTTCATTGAATGCACAATATTAACTCAGGCACAGACAGGGACTTAGGTTGCAGGAGTTTGATCAGTTTTCCAACATGGGTTGTAAACCCAAACACACACCAAAGAGACAACAAGGGCATCAAACGAGGTCTAAGTTCTTGTAAACCCACCACGTTTGGATTTTGATTTTTACAAATTTAGTAGATTCCTAAGTTGCTACATAGCTGCCTAGCCATAAGGGGCATGGTTAGCAATTTTATGCCATGCAACTCTTGAACTTTTATGGTCATGTTTGGACAACTTCTGCGTTAATAATTAAAAAAAGATGGAATAAGTTTCAATATAAATAGTTTTAAAAGTACCAAAACTGATGACAGGTCACATGTTCATATTTGTCACGGTAGAAAATGGAATGTTGCAATCCAAGAATTAGCACAAAAATGACAAAAATTGTCTTGTAAGAGTCCTCTGAGGAATTAGCAGAGAATTTCTCATTCCGAAAGCAACATTAACAGTATTATATTGAGCATGGGGTCCTTCCGATGTAGTTCACATAGGAACAATTCAAAATAGAATTATTTACATTAGAAAATGAAAAAACAATTACGTTAGAAGGTTGCCTTGTCATCTTGTGCTTGTCTTTGATTAGTTGAAGATAAAAGGAAATGTTTGTGAGCATCAGCAATGAAAGTGAAACAATCACAAAACATATTCACAATATAAAAACACCTCATAATGCTTCTAATTCTGCAGTCTCTTCTGATCCTTATTTTTTTGGTCATCCATTCACACAATAGAACATATATTAGCCCAAGTGGGGGAGTGAGAGATATCCATTGAAAGGGGTTTTACTTTTGCTTGACTTGGTTGGTGACATCTTCCTTTGCAAGGAGCTTAAATAGCTTACAAACAAACCCTCTTCTCGACACCAAAGTCATCGTGATTTTCATTCGAGCCATATCCTAAAAGGGAGGCAGAAGTTTTGGGAACAGAAACCTTCTTGGGAGGGGGCACATAACATGGCCTTGGACTAATCAAATTTGCAAACACTGTGAGTTAGCACAACTTGAAACTTCTTGTATGTGTCATTATTCATATTTGAGAACAACACATAAATAATGGGTTTTGTTTGGTTTTGTTTTCCCAAATTTGTAAACTACAACATGTTTGTGAGTCCATGTATGCAAATATCATAGCCATGAGAATTATTATAATATAATATCTTATATTTCATTGTCACTTACTAGGTGGGTTGAAGCTTCTTACAGATATTTGAATAAGAGTTGACATCTTGAGAAGCCTCTCTCTATATATTTGCATTTGGGTTTTGGACAAGAAATTCATATAGAGAGAGAGGACATGGAGGAGAGGAATGAGATGGAAAAGATTGATGATGTGATGCCAGGATTTCGTTTTCACCCCACTGATGAAGAGCTTGTTGATTTCTATCTCAAGAGAAAAATTCAGCAGAAGTCTCTTCCTATTGAGCTGATTAAGCAAGTGGATATTTACAAATATGATCCATGGGACCTTCCAAGTAAGAACTGTCATGACTCACACTCATTGTTTTCTCTCTCTTTTTCTGTTGTTTCTGCTTTATGTCACACACAATTCTTACAAATAGGTTCATTCAGATTAATCTGCAACCAAGTTTTCCTCTTTCATTCTGAAAACAGTAGTTTTGAAAACATTTCTACTTTTATTCCTGATCAAGTAAAAAAAAAGTATAATTAGTTCACTCAAATGAAATTCAGAAATACAAAGACCAAAACCATTTTGACTAAATGTTGAATGACCACCCTTCTCTAAGTTTAACTTGGTTCCATTTGGTTTTATGCTCAAGAAGAGCTGGCAGGTACTGGGGAGAAAGAGTGGTATTTCTACTGTCCAAGGGACAGAAAATACAGGAACAGTGCCCGTCCAAATAGAGTCACAAGAGCTGGATTTTGGAAGGCCACTGGAACTGACAGGCCTATATATTCCTCTGAAGGGAAGTGCATTGGTCTGAAGAAGTCTCTTGTGTTCTACAGAGGAAGAGCTGCCAAAGGGATGAAAACTGATTGGATGATGCATGAGTTTAGGCTGCCTTGCATATCAGACTCAGCCCCTCCCAAAAAACTCCTTGACAAAAGCCTCCCTCCAAGTGTATGTATTGCACCAAATCCTTATAATATTTCAAGTGATAACAGAATGTGTTCAAAGGACTAATTTTGACCATTCATGTTACATGCATCATCAAAATTGGATTTTAGTTAAACCAATCCTTATTATCCATGTAAGAATCACCTATGAAGATTAACTCTTTTGACTTTCACACTCTCACCGTATTAATTTTGACTTTTAAGATTACATGCATCATCAATATTAATTTTAAATTAAACCAAATTTGATCACTTATGTATAATTGTATGATCAACATTAGCTCCTTAAAACTCTTGTTCATACTCATAAACTATAGTAGCATACACGCTCTTTAGCCCATTTTTTCTGCTTGTTCAGGTACTGAAATAAAGTGTTTTGTGTGTTTTTTCAGGATTCATGGGCAATCTGTAGGATATTCAAGAAAACCAACTCCCTTTCCATGGCACAGAAAGCTTTATCTCAACCTTGGATCTCTCAGTTACAAGGAAACATAGTACCTGACATGTTCACACAGGATGCAACAAACCATCACCTAGGATCACCAGCCATTCAATTTTGTGGTGACAAGCAAGAGTTATACCAAGTCTCCAATAATGACATCAATACCAACTTCTCAGCTTCAGATATTCCTCCCACTTACAAACCCATCAACAACAGCACAGTTTCCAAGCCATCACCACAAATTCCTGTTTCTGATGGAGACCTTGCTGACAACTTCATATTCTACACAGGAGACACCAAGGGAACACTTGATGCCAGTTCCATGCTTCCTCCCAACCCTGACTACATAACATTTGAAGAGCCAAACCAACAACAGTACAGTGGCTTCTCAATCAATCTACCTCATTACATGCAACAAAACATGAGCACGGAAGCAGTAACAAAAGAACATCAAGATTGGGAAACAATTGGGAGAACCACTGGATTTCCTTTTACTTTGCTTCCCCCATATGATGCATGGAAGTCTTCTTCTGTGGCATGGGACTCACCTCCTTGCCCCAGTGACATGTCCACTACCTATTCCACCAATAAATGCTACACTTGATTTATCAACAAAATTGGAGGCATTCATGTTATTTTTTACAATTTTAGTATATTTACCACTAAAATCAATACCATCAGGTGCTGATTTTACTTGTAAATGTACAAGGGTTATCATTGTTTCCTAGTTCATAGTTATATGTACCTGAATGTAACTACCACCAAGAAACATAGAAAAGAGCCACAAATTTTATAAACCATGCATGTCCTGGGAAAATAGATCTTCTCATGCTAGTTTTTCATGTGAAGGGGTCATGTGATCAAAAATTGACACAAATTTTTGGTTCTCTATCTTCTTTATTCATGTGATTCTCACAAAAGGAGGTTTGCTTATTTGCTTATATGTTTCATGTACTTGGTATATTTACCTCGATGTACATATAGTTCATATTTTCACGTATAGCTTTAATTTTTTTAATGGTTTATTTTTTTATTTCCCTTCTTTCATATTTATTTGTTTTCCATATTCCAATATTAACATTTAACAAAAGTATCCAAGTAGAAAAACAAGGGATCGTAACACTTTGGAGACAGATACAGATGCTAGTTATTAACTTTATCAGATCAAAATTCATTTGTTTCTTTGCGTTACTATAAAATAATTTTATGTTATATTTTCTTGAGTGTTTGAAATTTATTATATTTTTGTACAAAAATAAAATACTTTATAGAATTTTTTTTTTTAGGAGTATAAATTCAAACAAAATAAGACTTCAAAGCATAAAGCTTTTAAATGTACGTTAATAGATGTTAAGGAGTATAGTATCTACAATATCTATCCTTATCCCAATTACAAACTGATAGAAAAAAATATAATTAAATTATTTGTGGGAATCCATTTAAATATATTTTCTATTTTACTAATAGATATTCATGAGTACATTTAGATTTCTGTTAAGAGAATAAAGACTTTTATTTTGGCTTCTACTATAAAAAGACTATAAATAAATAAATAACAAATCATGTTTTAGATAAGAAATGAATATTGGCAGATTGATTAAGATTATGAGATGATTGTGGAGGAATGTGGCGTGCAAGAAGGAATTTAAGAAGTCAAATGAATATATTAACATGTAAAATATATTAACTATATGAATAATTAGATTATATTTTTATTATGCAGAGAAGTCAATCTTTCCTGCCCCTGGGTACTTCATTCTGAGTCTGATTCATCCAAGTCAATCCTTGTCAACCTCTTTCTCTTGACATGCTAGTTGAATTTGATCCAATTCTCAAGTCTCTCTTTCAACAGTTAAAATGCAGGAGATAGACATTAGAACAGCAACATTTTAGTTGTAGAAATCTCATTATATCCAAATTGATTCTAAATATGGAGTAGCATATGTACAAAACTAACAAACATCTACTAACAAGGAAAAAGTGAGAAAGATGGTTCTATATGTATCCTTTTGTTTACAATATTGATATTGTTTACTTTATTACTACACCATGCTAGTTGATCCTTTGTTATTTTCGACATGTTTAACACTCTCCAAACCAATTTTATCTCCAGGTGAGTTAAAAAGTAAGCAAAATGATCTCTACTGTCTTCCTCATGCTTTTGAAACTTTTTCAATATGCTACTTCTGCTCTTTAAAAATTCATTTAGTCTCCTTTCCTTCTGCAAAAATGAAAAAAATAGTTAACAAAGAAGAAACATCATAATACCCTTTTCACATAAACAAAGAAGATTTTGTCTCAGAAGCTTCAATTACCTTCTGAAGTTCTGCTTGAATCTCCCTAAGAAATTCTGTATCTGCAGGGTCTTGAAGTTTTACTTGAGTTTCTCTTGAACCTCTATGAGCCAAGCTAGATGCATCTTTATCAGCTTTGATGAAATTCCAAAATATCTTGATTGATTCTTCCAAAATCTCCACTAGCATGTCACTTGTGATTTCACTTTTATCTACATCTCTTGCTGTCTTTAATATCTCTTCGTCTTTGGTGTTGTCCTCTGCAGTCAATTGAGGTTCTACACATTAGATACTAGTTTCTTACAAATAAATTTTTATATGGTTTTCCACATAGTTCAAAGCAAGGTTTTAAAGGCTAAAATAAATTTTGTCTCTCATAAGATTTTACTTTTAGTTTGACTTTTTAAAGTTTCACCTTCAAAACTTTTCAGAACAAGTTGATCTTTCCATCAGTTTACTACACTAACTTGGTGACACATGACATACAAGACATTGACAGAAAGACTAATTTGGTCTAACAAAAACACTTCAAGAAACTAAAGTGTTCCAAAAACCCCATCACAAGTGTCTGTCAAAGTAGACAACCTATCAATATGGATTATAAAATCTGATACCATATTAGATTTTTATATCAAGATCAATTGATATTTAGTGAAATTATCAGGTAAAATATATAATTGACACTCTAAAATTTGACTTTCAAAACCAAAAAATAGGATGAAAGACAACAATATATTTCAGTCCTTCAAAAATATCCATAACCGCATCATCAAGGTTTTTAGATTGGAATCATATGACTGTATCAGCTATGTTTGTAATCTTTTACTATGTCAAAGATCACAAAAAAACTATAATGGCCATGTAGTTTAAAACTTTGGCTCAAAGGGACACGACGAAAGTGAGACCAATCAAAGTAAGTACAAGACTCAATTTAACTATAGATGTGAAAAAAAAAATATTTACAGTATGTTGAAAGTTCTCACCTCTTAAAACTGGAATTTGAAGAAGATTTTGCATAGCACAACGGCTCCTGGCATAGTACTCAACTCTTGGACCTTGGAAACATTCATTCTCCACAAATCTTAGCAGAAGCACTTGAAATTGTTGGAACTCCTCAGCTACTTCATTGTAACTCTGAAACCTATATTGATCAGATTTCCATAACTGCAAGGCCTTGTCATACTCCCACCGAAGGAATTCCCAAGAAAGACACATTTGTCCCACATAAACCATTTCCAAGTCACTGTAAAATTCTCTCCTGAACTTCTTTAATGGGTCAGATTCAATTTTCTTTTGTCTGCTGTGGCCAAAGAAGTGTGGAAGGAAGGATGTGATAACTGGAGAAGAGTTCTCACGACTTGACAATGATAGCATAAGGTCCTTGGTCTTCAGGGCACCTATAACATGCCATGACACTAAGAAAAGTTATATTGTGATTGGATTCTTAACCACTAAACTAAGCACAGTGCAAAGGTCAATTAGATTCTAAATCACAAATTTACATAACATTTTTTTTACTTGCCTTGAATAGTAGTTTATAGAAGATGCTATTTTTTTCTATTATTATTAAGTATATGATACTATTTACTAAAAAGTGCTATTTTATTAAAAACATTAATTCTGTTTCAAATAAATATTAATTTGATTATTTTAATGCCAAAGATTCTCACAAGACTATTTGTTGTATTTTAGGAACATTTCAAACAGCTAAATCATGAATGATGAAAATTTCACCAGAGGATATAAAAATGACAATAGGAATACTATGTCTTATGGTGTTTGGAGAATTCATTTATTCCTAGTGTCCAACTAATCAAATTTAGAAATTATCTACAAATTTCTTTAACACATGAAGATAAGAAAAAGAAAATGCATAGAGTGAAAAAGAGGTGAAAAGTTAGGACTACTGACCAATAGCAAACAGTTTTTGGTAATTTAAGATATCAAATTTTCTCATTTTTTCTAAGTAACTCTTGTATACTTTTGTGAGATCATTTATGGTACTGCCATACTTGAAATTATCATCAATTTCCCATGGCTTCATGTCTTTCATTATCCCTTGTGTCTCAAAGGTGGTAGGCAAACCAGTAGCTCTGAGCTTGTTCAGTTCAATCTTGAGCTGTTCTATCAGTTCTTGATGTTCCCATTGTGCATCAAAGGAATCCTCAAGATCTGAACCTATTGAACCATCCAAGTTCATGTCAGGCCTATCTTGAAAACAATGCCCTTTGAACTTTATGTTCTCAATAACATCTGAATCTTGTTGCATTCTTGTCTCTTCTTCCAATTTTCTTGTCCCTCTCGTCATGTCTTTAAGTTGAATATCAAAACTCTCTGATCTTGTTTCACCATCTAAATCCAAATATTCTTTTGCTAACACTGCATTTTCTTCATCATGGTTTCCTGAAGTGTTAAGCTTAATAGTGGTTCCAAAATCTGTATCTGACAAGAATTCACCTCCTACAGGACTGGTTATAGAATCTAAGTCAAAGCTTACACAAATGCTATCATCTTCAGAAAAGACACTATCAACAGCTGAAATTTCTTCAACAAACACATTGGCATTCAGATTCTTCACTTGATGTTCGTCAGGCTGTTCTACAGAAGGCCCAGTCTGGGGCCTCACTACTTGATCCACACAACTTTCTGGTCCAAAGCTCCATTCAGATTCATCAGCAGAATCATTTTCCAAAGAAAATTGTTTTGAATGATCGCATGGTTCATCCAAGAAGCTGTTGAAACTCTTCCCTGGGATGAAATCCTGCTTGTTGGTGCTTTCAGGAGCCTTATCACTATCAGTGTTCACAAAATCAGAGGTTTCACTACAGTTCCAAGTTTGATATTGGAATTTGAAAACCAACCTCATTCTCTCCTTTTCTTCAAGGCCAAAGTTTCCAATATAGTCAGTTATATTAACTGTTTCAGAACAATCCCCAGTGTACTTCGCTTCGGGTTCAGAACCATTTGAATCATTTTGATGACTACACTCTTGTTTGAGTTGAATAGCATCATTACCTTCCTCAAATGTTTCCCTTTTGAACTCTGCATCTTTGGAATGCTTAGAACAATCTTCTTCAGCCTCAGTTTTTTTCTCAGAATTGTTAGGATGAGTGTGATAGTTTTCACGACAAAGGTTTGAAGAACAATCTGAATTGATTGCCTCATGACAGAAGTATCTGCAATAAACATAAAAAAAAGTGAAAAATAAAAAAATTAGCATAAAAGAATAATAGCTTAAATTATGATGTGATGGGAACTTCAATTTCAATACCTCGTTAGGATTCTGGTGAAGACCCAGAACAGAGTGTCCACAAGCTGTGAGAAGAAAACCCAAACATACCAAGCGAAAAGATCCATCCTTTGGTCCAAAATCTCTTTAAATATGACGTATTTTCTTAGCAAAATAAGTGGGGTTTTCATGAAATTCTCGTTTATCCAGTTCTTGCTTCCTAATTTCCCAGTTTCCTATTAAACAAAAACAGAGCAATTAAAACAGGGAAGGTCATGCAAACTCTTGATTTTTACCTTGAATTTCTCTGGACCTTGTAACTATAAAGACTAAGATATGTACCTAAAACACAAGGTATAATCATTGACAAAAACAAAAGAGATTTAAACCATATTGGAAGCAAGGATTAAGGGAAGAAAAGAGCATGTCAGCTGCTTGATTTTGACTTTTGAGCCTATGTTTTCTGAGCATGGAGTTCCCATGAATTGAGGGAATTTGATTCTATCCACCATTATTCTCTTTTATATGCTCCATTGATACTAGACACACAAAAAGGGGAATTGTGTTGAATTGAAAGTTTTGTCAATTTTTGTTTTGTTATTGCCCCAAATTTCTACAGATACAAACAAATGTTGCAGGTTTCATGCATTTGTAAGGAACTGAAAATGCAAACTTTTTGACAGTGAAAACTCAACCATGCATCGATTCAGAAAGTACTAAATAAATTGCATGAATTGAAGTCATGTCATGCTACTTGCACTGTCTTTGTTTTCTGACATTTACACAACCTAATCATTTGTTCAACCATTTAATTTATGTACATTATTATAGTAACAAATTTATATTTAAATCGATTAATTTATGGTTGTATTAATCGGTTCTCTTACACTAATTTTACAAATTAAATGAAAGAATCTCTCAAAAATTTAAAGAATTCACATTAATTAATATATAATAAAATTATAATATATAAAAATTGTTAACCAACATATAACTATGCATATAAAAAAAAATTAAAAAATAAACATTTAGTTAGTGTTTGCCTTCTCTTACAATGAAACTACATTAAAGTTAAACTACTTTAATATAAAAGTGAGCACACACAAATCTGTTTTTTTGAGTGGATTTTATTATTCGACCTGTGTGTTGGTGGTGTGTGGAAGAGGACACAAGAGGGATTGACATGGCCCAAACAAAGATCACTCTTTGCTCTTTATTCTGTGGAATTTATGCTTTTGGTTTTACCTTTCATGCCACAGCCATGGGAAGCTTCTTCCCAAAACCCTAATTAAAGTTTAACGGGAAATATAACATTCACCTTTCGGTTTTTATTTTTTTTAAATCAAATTATCAAAATTATTTTTCAACTTTAGTGACTTTTTATCCTCATTTATATTATATTTTTTTTGTTTAAAATAATTTTTAAAAGAGTTATTAAACAATTTTTTTAATTTATTTTTAAAATTAATCTTTAATTTTTTTTTGAAAATTTAAAAAACAAAACTCAACCCATTCCACAATCAAACTAATTAAATTAATTTAAAATTTATTTTAATTAGTTCAACTTGAATCAATCTAATTAAAAAGGATAGTAATTAGTTCAGATTTATAATTTACAAATCAAATGAATCTCAACTAAATCAATGATTTTTTATTAATTATATTTTTATTGACATAAGTCAATTATAATATAAAATGTTATATATATATGAATTTCTTAAACTAACCAAATCAACTTATTCTTTATTGGATTGGTTTAATATGGATTTTGAAATATATTTTTTAAAATTTTGAAGCAATCTAAATTATTGAAAATTGTTTGATTTAAATTATTTTCTTATCATGAAATTGACTCTTAAATAATATACTACTCATAAATATTTTGAAACATTCTTACTAATCATTTACTAATCATATAAAAACATTTTAATTAATATTGTAAACATTCTTACTAATCATATAAAAACATTTAAATGGTATAATTTTAAATCAAAATTACCAATTTTAGGTAATTTTTAAAAAATTACATAAATTAATAAGTTGTGGTTGATTGTATGACTTCATAAAAAGAAAGTGGTAATTTCTTTTTTATAAAGTCGTGTTATCAAATATCACTTACCATTTATGTAATTATTTAAAAAATTACTCAGTAATTTGAATTTAAAATTACATTATCTCAGTAATTTTGCCTACTAATGATTTAGTTTAGGTGGAGTTGAATAATTAAATAGGATAGTATGAATTCTTAATTTACTTCTCATTAAAAAAATAAATAAGTAAGTAAAATATGAACATACGAAATATAATATTGTAAATTTTATATAATTATATCTAAGAGAAAGCCAAATTATTTTTTATCGAGTTTGTTTTTTGAAACATCAGTTGTTAAATATGAATCAATTCAAATTAATGGCAATCGTTTTATTTAAAATTATATTAACATTTTATTTTTAAGCTTTTTGAAAAAAAAAATAATTGAAGCGTGTTTAGGCCATTCAAAAAAATTTGAAGAATATTCAGATAAACATGATGAGTAAAAAGATTGAGTTATGATGAATAAAATCATTCCAATCACCTTGAGTAACTTTTAATGATGATTTTTTCTTTTCTTCTTTTCCCATCAAAACAACAATATCTTCCACCAAAGATATATTATTTGAGTGCATTGACAAATTTATTATTTTTGTGGCAAAAAGAGGGTCCATTAATTACACAATTTGAAATTACAGCATATTTTTCTAGAGTAATGATATATGCATATTTTTATAAAGTTTGTATTCTTATTTAAATTTTGTTGGTGAAAAAACATATAATTAAAATAAAAATTTATACGATGTCTAAAAAGAGCATTAATAAACTCCATAACCACATATTAATATGATAAAAGAAATAACTTTGATGAGTATCATAATTGGAGATGTTTTTCTATTATTCAATTTCGTGTTTTTACTTTGTACTACAAAAATAGTACATGCAGACCAATGATTTAGGGTTCCACTTTATATGTTATAATGAGAAATATGTTACTTGTATGTTCTCATGGGCTTTGGCCAGTTATTTGAAATGGGCTGATCCAAGATATGAAGAAGGCACATTTTTCTTGTACCCATTTGTTCATCTTGTATCCCTATTCATCCAAAAAGATAATATTGTTTTTCACATTGAAATATTTTTAGAATATTTTTGGAAAACTAAAAAAATCAATCCGAAATACTTTCGAAGATTGAATTCGAAACTTAAATCATGTGAAAAATCATTTTTAGATTTATCGTTTTTAAAAAAATTAAGATTATTTTTTTCATAGTAAAATTATATTTCAGATTTCATAATTTAAAAATATCATATATTTTTTTTATTCATTCATCTAATTTTTTTTTAATCTTTCAATCCAAAATAGTTGATAATATGTTTCTCAATTATTAGTCATAAATTAATTTATAATTTTTTTACATTTTGTATTCATTTAAAAAAATTAGTTTACAATTATTGATTTTCACACTATAAAATACATAAATATATAAATTATACTTAAAAAACTAACATTATACTTTTTAATCTTTTTATTCTTCAATTTCATCTATCCAATTTATCTTTTTATCTTTTTTTCTCTTCTCACATTTTGCTGTAAATTTTTATTTTATTTTATTTTAACTTCTCATAATAATCAATAGGTCGTTATATTTTATTAAATCACGACCTATTTAATTATTAGTTTCATAAACTAGTGTTATTATCTTTTTAAATGAATATAAAATATTAAGGGAAAAAGAAATGAAATACAAGAAAAAATATGCCCTATCAAGAACCTATTTAATTGAAGGTTATTCGACCTGCTAATTTTATTTTAAATTATAACGGATTCTTATTTTATATATATATATATATATATATATATATATATATTTTGAATATTTTTGTCATTACAACTCGTAATAATCTAAATTTTTATAAAAAAATTTATTTTTATTATGGTTATAAAAATGGTTGTTGGTATTAAAACATTATATTTTATGGTTAAAACTCAAAATTTTATATAAGATTTAGATTTTAATTTTAATAAAGTGATGCAATGAATAATGATTTTTAGAAAAATATAGGTTACCTTAAAAAAGAATAATAGAAAGAGAGAGAAGAGAGACAGGTTCCAACAGTCTTAAAGGCTAAAGTGGGTTGAGAGTGACAAGGCAGGAGAAATAAAGGACACTAAATGACTTGAAATATACCCAATTCTGACCTCTAATTACTGCCAATTTATTTCTATTCTTCCTTGGTGTGACGTATATAACACATTTTTCTTTACTTACTCCTTCAAATTCTCATCTCACTTCGTTAATTTAATTCATGGTCTCATTTTGACTATTTCTTTTTCTCTCAAAATTCTCGGTCATTTAATTCGATGTGTAATATAAAGAATAAAAAATGTTAGATGAATATGAATTTATAGAAATAAAGAATTAATAACATTGTGATAAAATTTATGCTTCGTTGATATAAGTTGTTGAAATTTCTATTAAATATATAATAAAATTATAATATACATAAATTTTATATAAATTTTTTTTATAAATCAAAGATTTAATTAGATTTTTTTCATTTTTAAAATACTACAAGAGTAACTATAATAATATTATGATATTATATTATTAATATCTATTAATAAAATATAACACTCATTAATAAAATAGTTAGTATAGACACGATATATTTTTTTATTTTGGAGCTTTAGTTTATTATGATTTTATTCTAAAAAATACTTTAATGAATTAAGAGAAAATGATATATATAAATTAACATTGATCTTAACTTTTAAGTAATATATGAGATTTATATGTGTATTAAAATATAACTTCCCAACTTGAAAGGTAAGGGATAGGTCAGCTTTTACGTTGTGCACAAAATGTTTTATCCATGAATAAGAATATATTGGTCTCACATCTTAGTTATAATAGCATCATTAGAGTGAATTATCATATATAAAATATTATCCGTTTTAGATTATAATTCGTCAGGATTTAATCTTTAAAAAACATATCAATTGATTAAGATAAAAAAAATATATAAACTAGATCTATACTCTAAACATATAAAATTAATATTTTTACTAAATATTCATATCTTTATTTGAAAAAATAGTTTCACACTTTACCAAATCAATTGAGACATCCACATGCATGCTAAGATACTTTCTTTAGTAAATACTTTCAAATATTTTATTAAATTAAATACTCTTAAAAAATATATATATATATATATATATATATATTAATGTATTTAAAAAGAAAATTTAGATATGAAAATTTAAAATTGTTAAAAATGTTTATGAACTTGTTAATCTGTTTAATATAAAAATAGAAGTATATTAACTTAGGTATAGATTTGGACAAACTTCTTCATAACTAATTATAAGAGAGAAAAAAATAATAAGACAAAATTTAAAAAAATTTAAATTATAAAAAAAAATGTTGTGTTTTCTCTTTATTTGTCTGAAAAGAAGATTGGAAAGCTTAAGAAATAGATGTGAAAACTAAAATGAATATCTTTCAAATGCTACATATAAAATATTGTTTTTCATGAAACTCATGTACCCTACAATTTATTTCTTCCTTTGTTTTGGGGCAACTTAGCTTTGCTTCTTTCAACTTGCAAGGAAAAGTCACCCTTAAAATTTATGAGTTGCAATATTTAGGTCATTACTAGTTCCACTTAATGAATAATGATATTATATTAATTTTTTTTTCCCTATAGTCTCAAAATTGATATTTAATTCCAATTAATTATTGACAAGGATGCAAATACATCTAAGCCAAGAAAATTCAAATTCCCTTAAAATAGAGAGACTGCTAACCAACCTTCTCTATTTCGATAGGCCAAAGTAATATCATGCATTCATAATATGTTGACCTTTTCCTTTATCCACTCTTTCAAATTATGTCAAACTCATATTTATTGTGCATCCAAGTTTTCTTGAGATATTTTTAAAATAATTTGAAAACATCAATTGGAATTTAGTATTTGTTTTTAAAATTAAATTATAAATATGAAAATATGTACTTTGTAATTACATTTTACCATTTCTTTTAGTTTTATAAGTTGAAAGTAAAAAGAAAAAAACTATTTTTTTTATCATTTGCTAGTGATGATGTTACATTTGGTTGTTGACATGACTGATAACATTTACATCAATAATGATATATTAAAAATAATCATATGAACATTTCTTTAAATATTTGTTAGTTTATAAATTTGTATTCAAATTGTATTTTAGTTTAACAAATTGAAAGTAATTTTTTAATCCTTCAAATTTAAAATTAAGTTCTTAGTCCTTAAAATAAAAATAGTCCTTATTATTAAAAAAATATTTCTCTAATCCAAATTATTTTTTTAAGTCTTTTAATTTGGAAGACAATGTTTATTTTGCTTTATAACATTTTTTTTGTTTAAATTATGATTAAAAATTATATTAAAATATTATCAATTAATTAAATTTTGAAGGTTTAATTTGTTATAAATATTATTTAAAATTTACTAAAAAAATATATTGTTAGTTGTGTAGATTTTTGAATGATGACTTTGTCAACTAAGTATTTCCAAATTAGAGGATTAGAAAACTATATTTAAATTTAAAGGACTGTATATTTTAAATTTTGAAATTAAGTAATTTTAAAATTTTTCGAGGAATTAAAATAACAATTTTAGATTTAAGGAGTTAAAAAATTACTTTTAAATTTAAAAGACTAACATAATCACTTTCAAATTTAGATGAGTTAATTAAGTTTAAATTATATTTGACGAACTAAAAAATGTTTTAAAAATAGTTTTGCATTATTATTTTTAACTTTTAGTTCGGTTGTTGATGTGTCTTGTCACTGGTTCTGCATTTCCAAATCAAATAATTAATGCATGTCATGCTTTTTTTCTTTTTCTTTTTTTCGTTAACAACTTGTGAAGAGCTAATAAACGTTTACATATCAGCTTTTAAATTACAGGGGAACAAAATTTGATATATATTTATATAAGTATTAATATAAAACAATTATACATAAAATAATTAATTAATTTATGAAGAAAAAAATGATACTCTATTTTAAAAAAAATCTAAAAATTCGTTTAGGTAGATATATGACAAAATAGATATTTAATTATGTTTAATAAAATATTTATGTTTGAATAAAATTTAGTGTAATTTTTATCTATAATCTATGGATAATGTTTTTTTTTTTTAAAGTAAGATAAAAAGCATGATAACTAAACTATTTTACTTTTGTTTCTCATTGTATTATTTCCATTAAGTATCTTTAGTATTAGGCATTGAATATAGAATTTAAGTATAAGATACGGTGAGAGAGACTTAAAATCTCAATTATGAAAATTGAGGTTTTGTATAAAATCTCTCTAGATCTATAAAAGAAATTAATCTTTAATGTATCTATAAAAAGTTAATAACGTCTTAAAACGAGATCCATCATTAAAAAGGTGTTCTTGCACTCAATATAATATTATAATCCTTCATATTTTTATTATTGCTATCATTTCATCATTAGTTGTGCAAATTTGTGCCCTAACCCGACAATATCTATATTTTAAAAGAATTTTGAAGTAATGTAGTCATTTTTTATCTAGTTAAAAAAAAAATCAAAACTTGTTCATATAAAAATATATCAGAAAATAAATTAATTCAAATAAATAAAAAAGAATTAAAATAAATTTAATATATATATATATATAATTTAAATTTAAGTTATATGAATGAAATTAATTTAAATTTTAAATATAATGGTTTGTTGTTAAAGTATAATAATACAAGTATATTTTTTAATAAAATAATAATATTATTTTTATTTTAAATAATAATTATTATTTTATAAAATAGTTGATCCATTAATCTTTGTATTGATTTAATTCAAATCATTTAGGTTATACATTAAATAATATGAACCAAAATTGATTAAATTTTATTTAAATCCTAATTTTGTATGTATATATTAATATATTTTTAAGATTTTTTTATATTAAATTATCAATTCAAATCTATTTTAACACTTTTATATATTGTCAATCACCATTTTTAGTATTATGATATCTTTTTTATAACAATCATCACTGCCATTATTAGACGTTATTATTATAAGAAATGACCATTACTTCTATTGTTATTGTCACAATTTTTATCGTCATTATTATCATTTTATTAACTAAAATATGACAAATACTATTTATATCATGTTATAATTATTGTCTCAATAATCATTATAATTTTTATCCTTATTTATACTAAGATTATTATTATCATTATCATATTATTACTTACCTTCTTATTATTATTATTATTATTATTATTATTATTATTTTTTGTAAAAAAAATTGATGTTTATCTCACTACTATCCAATTAAATTTTAATTTTATTCTTTTATATTATCTAACTAACGTTCGATATTTGAGAAGTTAAATTTATTGAAAAGATTGAGGAAGATGATGGTGAGAGATACAATATAGTGAATGAAAATAGTTGAAGATATTGGAAAAGTTGAATGAAGAAAATGTGAAAAAAAAAAAAATATAATGAAATAGTTGAAAAGATGAAAAAAAAAAGATGGGAGAGAAAAATGTGGAATCAAGAAAAAGTTATCATAAAAAAAATATACGTCAATATTTTAGAATTTAAATATATTGTTACCTTTGTCATTAATTATGATATTAGTAACAATCAATAAACTAGAAACCAGTGACAATAGAAACTTCTAAATCCACCATCCAACTTAGTAAATCAGCAACGCAACAAAGAAGTCAAATTAAAATATATACTTATTCGAAACTTCACTTTCATAGTTTACTTATTATAGTGGATGTTCACTTATGAAAACTAATAAAAAATCTTGTTTACAAAACATTAGAAATAAAAAAACATAAAAATATTCAACTAGAAATGTAAATCAATGAAAGGATGACAGTGATATAAATTCTATATCAATGCAAATTTATTAAGTTTATATATATATATATATATATATATATATATATTTTTTTTTTTTTTTTTTTTGAAATGTCAGAAATTTATATATGTATATATTATTTTGTTTAGAAAGATATGTTGGTAAGTTTGAATTTGAATACATATTTTTAAAATAGTTGATGTCATTTTTTTTGTTATTTTTTTTATCGTCAACAAATAATAAAATGAATAGAAGTATAAAGGGTACTTCAACATATACATAAAAAGAAATAAAATGAAAGAAAAACAAAATAACATGCTAGCTTCTAGTATTATTCAGCTCACAAAAGTTTATGAATATAATTTCAATAACTTCAACATTATTAAAATAAGACTAACTTCTGTTATAGTCCTCTCATTAATAAAGATTATATCAATCCTAATATTTGAACCTAATAACTCCTGAATATTTCCGTCTTCCGTCTCTTTATAAGGATTATCGTCATTGTATTAGAATTTCATGCTTTAACATGTTAAAACATATACCGATCATCACATATTAAAGAAAAGCTATAGAGTAATTAGTCTCATCAGTGGCGGATCTTGAATATTGATCTTGAGGGGGGCAAATAATATATTATTAATAAATAATAAATAAATATAAAAGAAAAAAAAGAAGATGAAAGGGGGAAAGGATAAATTTGTAGATATATACTTAAATATATTAAATGATAATTAAGTTTGAGGGGACAAAATAATAAATTATATGAGAGTTACAAAACTGAGGAGGGGCTAAGATGATGAAATTGTAAATAAAAAAATAAATATATTAAATGTTCATTAAGTTTGGGAGCTAAAATCATAAATTACATGGGAGTTACAAAACTTTGGGGGGTCACGGTCCCCTAAGCTCCCAATAAGATCTACCACTGAGTCTCATACCATAGAACCAATCGGAATTTGGTATTCTCGCTTCATCACAGTCTCTAACACACTAAACTATGAATTTTTCGTTTGCTTGACTGAATTTTACTTCAACATCGAATTTCTCGTACTTTTTAAAATGCACATGTTTCTTTAAAATCAAATCTCGTATACCACTGTTATCCTGTTTTTCTAATAAGAAGCCTTCTAGATTTGTTTTTTCTCCCAATAACACGCGTAACTAATTTTCACCCATGTAAAACACTTAGTTGTAATCATAATTTGTTAACCTAATTTTTGTTCTGGAAACAAATAAGCAAAAGATTACAGTAGAAGAACATGTATATGAAAGAAGACAGAAGAGAGGGAGAGAGAGGAAGCTTAAGGTTGATTAATATTAATCGAGAGACAGTGACAATGAATTGTGATGGAGTGTGTTATTGAGATTAGACATGTGCATGAAGAAGTTGAAGTGGTGTCTGGTATGATGTGTTTGGAGAAAGAGTTCACAGTGAATTTGTCCAATGCCATCACAATAATTCCTTTGGTTAGGCATCTTCTTTAAGAGGTTGGACTCAGAATTGTGATCATGGGAGGCACATGCCTAACCTCTTAAATACTCTGATAACACTTTCAGAGTTTAAAGTCAAAATCAAACCACTTGTTATAGCTGTAGTCCTCTCAAGTCTCCTGCTATTTACCCACAGATTCTGAATTTATTACCCTAGATTTCCTACACACTCTTTATATGCTGCTTGTGCTGTTTCAAAAATAGTATCATTCAAACACTCAACCTATCATTAATTAAACCCATTTCCACAGATTAAACATGTTTCATTTTTTAGTTAATGCATTTCAATACCTTAACTATTCAGTAATTCTATTTTCCACAGCTATTAATTCATTTTACTAGTCACAATCACCTATTATATTTACACAATCATTTAAAATGGAATAATTTCATATATTTTATCACTTTTTTATTATTACGGTTTTTTTTTTCAACTATTTTTTTCTCTCTTCATATATTTCCTCTTATTTAAAATAAAAACTAATTAAATTTTAAATAAATGTATACTTTTAAAAAATTATTTTGAATAATAACATAATTTAATCTAAATCGAAATAAAATACATATTTTTTATTTAAGCTATTGTAAATTAATATTTTAAAAATTATAAATAATATAAACATCGATCCAATAATATATATTGATATGAAAAATAATTGATTATATAAACATGTATTAAATATGAAAAAATAAATAAATTTGTATAATATTTATCATAAAAATATATATTATCTAATTAACTAAACAAATTATTTATAATTTTAAAAATATTTATCTTAGCTGAAAATATTTTAAAATATATAATAGAATTTATTTTATTTTAAATATATATTTTATTTAGATATAAAATAAATTATATTATTATTCAAAATAAATTCATAAATATATTTTAAAGTATAATTTAGAAAAAAAATATTTAAGTTACTTGTAAAAATTAGTTACAGAAAAAAAAATTATAGAAAATTTAATAAATTATCATTTTTGAAGTGAATGAGTATAAATATAACATATTGCATGTATCTTTCTCTTAACTATTAATTTAAATGTTTTTGTTGATTGTGTTTTGGTTGAGTTTTTTTAATTTAAAATTTCCATTTTTATTCTTATAGAAATATTATTACTATTTTTTTAGATTTAAATAATTACAGGATAATTTAATTTGTTTGTGTTTTGATTGTCAAACATTTTATTATATGATTATTTTTAATAGTTAATTTTTATAGCTTATGAGTAAAAAACCTAAAATAAGTTTCTTCATTTTTTTAAAAAATTATATTGAAAACTAAAAATGAATTTTAAATTAGAAAAAAATTAAGTTAAATTTATGATTATATATATATATATATATATATATATATATTAAAATCAGTTTTACAAAAATATTAATATAGATTGGTCCTTCTAAGAATTAAATGAAAGTAAAAGACTTTAGAGAATTAAGCATTAATTATTTTTTATCATCTTGTACTATTCATTAATGAGTGAATAAATAAATTATATGAAATAAAATTTTATTATATCCTATTTAACGATTTCTGAATATTCACATAACCCTAGCAAGTGTGGTAATGTGTGACCAATGCCAAACAGTGATTTCCAAGACTATTGTCGTCGTTTGACCCTTTCTTGAAAGAAAATACCTGCCGACTGAAATTCACATGGAAATGCAAACTCAAATTGACTTTTTTTCTTTCTAAGCGAAACTTTATTAAATGCATCAATTAATATTATTATTGGAATCATATATATTTTAAATTTAACTCATTGAATCATCAAAATTAACCACACCATCCCTTATTAATTATATAAGCAGCTTCATAATCAAGCTACTATTTTAAATGCATTTCGACATATTCATGTGCATCCTTGTATAAACATTAACCGTTAATATATTAAGAAAAATGATACTTTTACACCTCAAATTCGTACAATTCCTGAAAACAATTCTGTTTTAATATTATAATAATAGTTTTATTTTATTTTTATTAAATTAGTCTATAAATTATTATATTAATAAGAGTGAATTATTTGAAGAATTGTATGGTTTCTGGTTGTCAAAATTTCACTACTCCCATTAACACCTATTTATTTTGTCATTGGTGTATTCTTTAGAAAGTTAAAATCTTGTTTTATAGGGTCAAATATAAAGAAATTTAAACCAGTTTAACTCTATTATCATTATATGTTATAATTACTTTAAGCTTACATTTAAACATTATCTCCAATAAATATAACTAATGATAGATTAAAAAACATTTTTTTAATGAATGAAGAAAATTAATAATTACTATAAAATAAAATACTTTTGTTCATATTTAAGTTTCTCTTTTAATAAATTCTTCTTACTTAGGAGGGTAACTATCTAAGTTGGTTTTTTTAAAAACAAATTTGAAATTAAAACACATGGTTATTATTTAATGCACAAAGAAAATATAAAATAAAATACCATAACCATTTATGGTCATATATCATGTATGCTTTATAAGCATGAGATACACTAAGGTTAGGTTGGTCACTTGATTGACCAACACCAACTGTATCTTGACTATTGAGTACCCTCCTAATATATGAAATTAAAAAAAAAAAACTCACTTCTCTTATAATATATTATATTTTCAATTCAACAAGTAATTTAATTTTGATATTTAGAATAAATATTTATTATTTTATATATATTTTTAAAATATCTATGATTTTAATTCATCTTAAGAATTATGAAATGGAATTTTGTGGGAGAATTATTTTATTATGAATGTCATATATATAAGCAATTTTAATTTTATTTAATTTTAAACCACTCACCTAAAATCTATAATAAAATATTTATTTTTATTTTTAAGCAATTCTTATTTATTTTATTTTCATGTTAAATTATCTGTTTTTTAACTTTCATTTAACACTTAAATATCATAAATCTATATTTTTATAATCATTTGTTTATTTATAAATTTTTTATCATTTAAAATAATTTAATATATAACTACTTTTTATTTTAAAACTATTATCTCATACAAAACTTTAATTCAAAACATTTACTGTATCATATCAATATATTCCGATATACATTTTTTTTATAAAACATAGATTTTAACTCAAGATTCTTACTAGAATTGTGAAAATGTTATTTCATACAAAACTTTAATTCAAAACATTTGCTGTATCATATCAATATATTTCAATATACATTTTTTTATAAAACATAGATTTTAACTCAAGATTCTTACTAGAATTGTGAAAATGTTTTTACAAATTTCTTAAATTATGAACACATAAAATTTCTTAAATATAATTGAGCTAATTCCATCTACAAGATAAACCTTCAACATAAAACAACAAAATGTTAGTCCTACTACTTTTTATTATCCAAACAAAAACCATCCATTTTAATAACCAATTAATCATATATCCAAGACAAGAACAAATATATATACAAATTAATTACTATAATGATTTTTTAATTTTAGTAATCCTGTTTAAAATTAACTTTTTTCTTAAAACTACTATTTATTTGAATTTTGATATAGAAAATCATTGAAAGGGAAATATCAATTAAATAAATTATATCTTTATGATAATCTATTTAGATATATTTAAAAAAAATTGTTTTTATTAGAATAGTATATGTTATTAGAAGAAGAATTATACGGTTAATGTGAAAATATGAAATCCTGCAATGCATAAATCCAATAATTGATGAAGATATATTGATAAGTAATTGAAAGAGAAAGGGTTGTGAATTCATTGAGAATTGAGATATGTATGAGAATTGACAACTGTTCACAAGCATACAAAGAAGGGCATAATATAATGTATGTAGTAGCAGTAATAAGTAGAGGTATATGAAAGCTTTGGATTTGCTAGATTCACCAGCTTTATGTAATTAACATTAATGTTTGCTTTGCTGGGTTTAGAGACTTTAAAAAGAAGTAGGAGATAATAGAGGTTTCCCAGGGCAGCCACATTGAATGCCCCCACGCGGTTTTGAGAGGCACAAAGAGAGGTATTGCTCCAAAGCTGAGCTGACTTTGGCCTTCTTTCTCCCCAAGAGAGTTAATGCCTCTGCTGTCAACTTTTGACTATTTGCCTTCCCCCTCTTTCTCTCTCTCTCTCTCTCTCTTCCTTCAGTCAGCGACCCTTCACACACTCTCCATCCCTTGCTTTCTCACTATTTATACACCCTTCATTTTGACTCTTTCCTTGGCACATTGCAAGCAAGAGGAAAACTAAGAAACACAAGAGATCTAAGAGAGGAGAAATATTGTATATTGTGTATAGCTAGGTAGCTATATAGAGAGAAGTTGTATAACATAAAGTATAGTGAAGTAAGAGAAAAAAGGTGCATACAAGGGAAGATGGGAAGACCACCTTGTTGTGATAAAGAAGGTGTGAAGAAAGGACCTTGGACTCCTGAAGAAGATATTATTTTGGTGTCTTACATACAGGAGCATGGTCCTGGCAATTGGAAGGCTGTTCCTGCTAAAACTGGTTAGTGAATCTTCCACTTTTCGATCTTAGTTTGGTGGCTTTTGAGATGATTGGATGTTGATTCTTTTTTCTTGGTTTTAGCAAGTTAGGGAAAAATTCTGATTCTTTCAGTTGTGATCTGAAATGGTTTTCTCTTTGTGTTTAACTTTCAGGGTTGTCGAGGTGCAGTAAGAGTTGTAGACTTAGATGGACTAATTACCTGAGGCCAGGAATCAAAAGGGGTAACTTCACTGAAGAAGAAGAGAAGATGATAATCCATCTTCAAGCACTTCTAGGGAACAGGTAAATTCATCTCATAGCTGCTTAATTAAACTTCACTTTGCAATAAGCACTTGGTTATTTTGAATATGTTACCGTATACAGTATAACAATAAATCTTGATACAAATTCTACCTTTTTACTTTTTCTTTAGAATAATTTTTTAACATTTGTGGGAATTTTCCTTATGAATCCCTCTTTTTGGATTCACATGCTAAACTGAAGCACATTGATTATGATGTAGATGGGCTGCCATAGCTGCATACCTGCCACAAAGAACAGATAATGACATAAAAAACTATTGGAACACCTATTTGAAAAAAAAGCTGAACAAATTGGAAGCAAGTGGTTCTGAAGGAAGCTTGGGACATGTTGGGGTTTCAGTTTCTCAGCCAATGTCTAGAGGTCAGTGGGAAAGAAGGCTTCAAACAGATATCCAGATGGCCAAGAAGGCTCTCAGTGAAGCTCTCTCACCAAACAAGGCATCATCCACCTTGTTAGCTGAGTCAAATTCAAAGCTCTCCAATCATAACACTGGCTCTTTCTATAACTCCACCAAACCAACACAATCTATATGTTATGCCTCAAGTGCTGACAACATAGCTCGTTTGTTGAAGGGGTGGATGAAAAACACACCAAAAGCTTCACGTTCTACCACTCAAAACTCCTTCAACAACTTGGCTGGTGCTGGAGCTGACACTGCTTCCAGCGAAGGAACAACAAAGGGAAGCACACACAATGCTGAATTGTCTGAGACTTTTGAGACGTTGTTCGGTTATGAGTCTTTGGAGTCTTCAAATTCCGAGTTTTCACCATCTCTTTCTCCTGAGGGAACTCTTTTTCAAGATGAGAGCAAGCCAGTTATTGCTGGAATAGACATACCTTTCTCTCTGCTTGAGAAATGGCTTCTGGATGATGCAGGTTGCCAAGATAAACTTAGTTTCTAGATTAGTTTGTTTAATTTGTTGCTTTTTCTTAGTTATAGGAGACTAGGTCTGAATCTCACTTTGGCCTTCAACCCCTTTTGGTCCTAGAAGTGTATATTATCCAATATTAACATTATTAGTTATATTATCATATCCTATAATTAAATGCCTCACTGCAAAAGTTTAATGGTGTCAGATTTTTAGTCTTTTAATTGGTTGTTTCATTCTCTTAATCAAGCATTAAAGCTTAATTTAGTTTACTGATTCTTCCTAATTTCAATTAGTTTCAGCCATTAAATTGATCAGATGAAAAGAATGAAATGGTCCTTGAAAGGTTTTATGGGCAAGAAATTTATAAGTCAACCTAATAATACAAACTTAAGGTTGAATTAGTTAATTGACTGCTTATTAGTATGATGAGATACTCTACTCATCCAAAACAACAAATTTATTAGTATTTTCTCTGTTAATTGAATGCTTTAAAATATGTTTTTTTTTAACTTAACACAATTTTACATATTTTTTATTTTGTATAATTTACATATTTTTATTTTAATTATAAAATTTACTTAAATGTAAAATTAATAAAAATTTAATACGTAAGTTTTTATGCAAAATAAAAATCACTTATAAATAAATTTCACTTAAAAATGACAATTTTTTTATATTTTCATCAAATCCAATATTTGAAATTATTTAATAAAAAATATTTAATAAATATATAAATTTAAAATAAGAATACTTTTTACATATTAAGATGTTATTAATTTTTATAATTATCTCCTTACCACTTAATAGTCACACAAATTAATAGAATGGGGATTAATTCACATGTACGACTAAATCACAGGAAAGTTCATAGTTCTTTAAAATTATTCGAGAACTTTTTTGATTTTTTTTTTAATTGAAAGAACAAAAATAGGATGAACATTCCTAACTTAATTTTACAGTTTGGACCCACTTATAAATCATTTATAATTTGACTATATAATGTGAAATCCTCAATAATAACTATATAACGTATTATATATTTTTTATTTGCTCTAAATAGTGTGCCGTGTAAAAAAAGATTGATAATTACTCATGAGTTCACTGTCTTTATTAATTAGATTCTAATTTTATTTGTTCGTGCATGTTAAGTTTCAACCTATAAGAACAATTAATCATTTTATTTAATGTTAATTAGTGTTAAGTTAAAATTTAATTAAAAAAAAAACTTATTCCCTTTCCGAGACTCGTGTGATCATTATGAAAAAAAAAATAGAAATTGAATCTATTTTCTTACACGGGACCATTAATTTTAATATATATAATTTTATTTTTCAAACCCTACTCAACCTTCTTATCCCTATGATAGCAATGTCCTAGGAAAAAGAGCATTACCAAGTAAAATTGAAAATAAATTTTGTTGAAGTAAAAAAAATCATTGCGTGCCATTATTAACAAAACATATAAATTTATATAGAGTCTTTAGCGTGCACCTTGCTTCTTGCAAAGAAACAAGAAAACCTAGAATTATTGTTTGAAACTTTTAGTTTTTCAGAAAAAAAAAAAACTATGGAGTTACGAAAGGTTTTTCCTTTTTTTTTTTTTTTTTAAGATGGATATTTTCTGTTGCAAATCATGGACTACTGTATGTTAAGATGCTTGTAATATATTAAACTTTTTTTTTTTAATTTGGATCTTAAATATTTGAGGTATGATACTTTTGTTAATTTAGTTTTTGCAAAAAAATAAATATTTGTTTTAACTTTTTATTATGTAAAAAAATTGTAATTATATTTTGTAATTACTATAAAGAATTTATTAAATATAGATTAATTTTAACAAAATTAGTTTATCATATTATATTGTTAAGTTAAAAACTATTTCACTTCAATAAATTAGTTTTGAAACTCGTCTTTAAATTTAATTGTCAAAGTTTTAGTTATTAATTGAAAATTTTACTTTAAATTATTAAATTAGAGTCTAATTTTAATTAATAAATAAAACTTTGATAATTAAAATTAAATACTGATTTTAATTTTAATTCAATCACTATTTTTTTAAAATAAATTTTAACTTCTAAATATTTTTTATTTTTAAATTAGTTAATATTTAATAATTTTTTTGTAGAAAATTAAGTCTTGTGAGATGAATTTATCTTGTAATTTTTTTTACCAAAACTTAATAATAAATCAATAACTAATGATACAAAAGCTAATTTAATTTTCTTGCCTATTGAAAATTAAATTGTTTTTTGTTTTTTGTTTTTAAATCAGATTGACATTTCGTACGTAGAGTAACACTAAAATGTTCAATTCATTCATAAATATTATTTTTTATAGAGATAAATCGGAATATAAAAGTTTTATAAAATTACTTTGTCCACGTGTAATATATATATATATATATATATATATATATATATATATATATATATATATATATATATATATATATAATTATGTTATGATTCATACCTGATTTTTATAAATAATCAAGTCTTATTAACATTATTCTTATCATTCTCATAATAGATTTAAAGAAACTCACACTAAAAAAAACTTAGATAATAGCTTAAAATTTAATATATTAAACTTGAAACATGACATAGAAAGGTTAGGTACAGAAGTTTCCATGACAGTGTATTAGGTGAATACCAAATCTGCAAACCTTTGGCCCCCACTAAAATGACTTGGACTTAAATTACATGAGAAGTATGTGCATGGCATCCTGCAAAAGTCCCCACCTAGTTTTTACCATGATGAGGTGTTTCCCATATATATATAGTATAATATACTGTGTATACATACATGTGTATATATTGTATTCTTTGAACCATAGAACATGTAAACCTACTTATATATGCAGATCTATATAGAAGGAGAAGAAGAATGGTATATATGAGGAGAAAAGCTTGAGCATCTTTTTGAAGTTGCCAGGAAGAGCAAAGTTCTGAACGACAGAATCATGTGCTTCCCAAGCATGACCTTCTGATGAGCCCAACTCATTGAGCATTTAGTGCACCATGTGGATATGCAATCTGCACTTTGACAGCTTGCATTTGCCATACACGTAACTTGAAGAAAAAGACACATACATTCTGTGAGTATAATCATTGCAATAAAGTAGCATGTGTGTGTTTATCTTCTAATCATTCATCTTCATTTCATTGCTTCACTACCCTCATTCATTTTTAGGTTCATTAAGCAACTATATCCATTAATTAATACTTAAAACTGATTACTTTGCACATGTACTTATTATTGAATGAAAGAAACATAAAATTAAGAAACTCTACTTTGTTAGAACTTATAAAATTTACTGTATATTTTTCTGTATCTGACAATGTTAAAAGAGAAACTAAAAGAAACAGACAACTAGTGGTCTAGGTTTAATTTGCTTTTTTAATTCCCTGAAGCATAAGCAACTTACACCAACCAAATAAATTGTGAGATCATTATAAATATTTATTGATAAGTTTAATCTTTTAGCAGAGTTGTACATTGTTATGGAGTTATGCTTCAACTGTAAGTTGGTGTTTGATTCTTATTATTATATTAATTTTTTTATAAAACTATAAATAAATTGTTTGATTTAAAATTTAAATTTTATTCGAATGACTATTTGTCTTCATAATAATTTCTAGAAGAGAAAAATATTGATATATATATATATATGATTCTTTCTATTATTTTAAATGATGAACTGATACTAACTCATGAATTTATTAAAACATGTCTGCATTTAAAAAAAATGAATAAAAAAATATATTAACCAAGGCTAGAAGTCAGGGTCATATATTTTGGGCCGTAAAGTCCTTGGCATAAACTAGAAGTAGGCCCAAATATTTTAAAAATTTGTCAAGGCCCAACCCAAGATTCTAAATTAATTTTTAAAGCGTACTCATATACTATCTCCTAAATCATTTATAAGAAAAATAATTATTTATTTCCCTAATATAAGAAAATATCAATAATGTTACTTTCTTAAATTATACCTTTCCTAAGATATTTTAAATTTAAATAATTCTTAACCTTTAAATGTAATGTTTTTTATTTTATGAAAAAAAAAACAATTTTAAGAAAATATTAAAAAATAGTAACTTAAATGCAGTTAAGTAATTTCTCTCATCTTAATATGACTAAATTCAATTTTTTTCTTAGTTATAAGGAAGAACTTATATAATAATTACAGTTATCGAGGTGAAATTTGTAGAGATTGAAGGCAAAAGTATTGAAAGAAAAAAGAGAGTCAAAGATGAGCATTATGGGAATTGGTCTTTATCTGTGGTTTTGTTAGGTATTTGCCTATTACCCCAAATGGAAAATTACTATAATCAACATTGTCATTTGAACATAACCATTCACCAATTTTTTATAAAATTTCCCTTTAAGGCTACAAGACAAAGAAACACACCTTACAATCCCTAACTTTTTTCCTAACAAGTTAACAAAAGATATGACAACAACTGTATAACAAATTAATTATTTCCCTACTAGTGTAGGGGCAATTGTGCCTAACCCTAATCATCATTTCCCACAGCATGATCATCTCAACATTTTTCAGCCCATTTTTTCCAATGTAGCTTACTACATAATTTTAAAGAAAATGTAAGTGGTTCTGTTACAAAATATTCCAAAAATTAATCATGTATAAATTAGCTACGAACAAATGAGCTAGAATTGCAATATTTACTTATGAATCACCATGTCAAATGTTTGCAAATAATCTATGTATACTGAATTTTAATTTATTAATTTCCATATCAATTTTGTATGTACTAAATACACAACAACAAAACCTAATAGAAATAAAATAAAATAAAAATTTATAGGTAATATCAATATCCCTGACAATCCCTTTTTTAGTGGTCGAGTTTTTATAACATTATCATAAAAGATGTTAAAATAGTTTTTTTTTTAATAAATCGGCAAAAAAAAATTTAAATTAATATCACTATAAATATATGATTTTTTTCACTTTTTATTTTTCATAAATTATCATTTATGATAAAAAAAATATTTTGGATAAAAAAT